TGAATTGACCCTTTTAGCCTTATAAGATAAAATGATCTTCTGTATCCTTGGTAATATTCTTTGCTCTGAAATTTGTTTTGTTGATTTTGAAGTAGCTCATCTTGTTCTCTTCTGACTAGAGTTAGCATGGTACATCTTTTTCCACCCTTTTATTTTAACTTATTTGTTATATTGTCTTTATACTGTACTTTTTGAAGGTGATATATTATTGGTTGTTGCTTTTTTAGCTAACTTGACAGGATGCTTATACCATTGCATTTAATTTGATTATTAGTCTAGTTAGGTTTGAATATATTCTGTTGCTATTCATTTTCCATTTGTTGTATCTGTTATTTGTTCCCCTTTCCTGATTTTCTACCTTCTTGTGGACTGAGTTTCATTTTGATTGGATTTTATCACCTTTGTTGCTTTATGAGTTACAGTTTTGTTATTTTAGTCATTGCTTAAGGGTTTATAGTATATTATTTATCTCTCATAGTCTATCTTAAAGTGATATTATACTACTTCATGCATAAAACAAAGAACTTAATATACTTTCATTTATCTCTTTCTGGGCTATACATTATTGTTATACATTTTACTTTTCATCTCTGCAAATTCAATTTATGTCTTTTTTATATCTTCCATGTCTCTAACTTTAGTTTTCCCCATATCAGTTGTTTCCTGGTAATCTTTATGTATCTTGCAATCTTTGTTTGGATGCCAGACATTGTAAATATTACCTTGTTTAGTGCTGGATATTTTTATAGCTCTAAAAATCTTTTTGAGCTTTGTTCTAGGAGACACCTAAGTTATTGGTCACGCTTTCATCTTCTGAGGTCTTGTTTTTAGTATATCAGGTCTGGAGCAGTGCTCATTGTAGGGCTACTTCTTTTCCACTAGTGAAGCAAGACCTTCCTGAGTGCTCTATCCAGTGCCTTGTGAAGTATAAATTTTTCCATTCTGGCTCATGGAAATAGGCACTATTCCTAGCCCAGTGTGAATGACAAAACTAGTCCTTCTAATCCTTACAGATGGCTCTTTTCCTGGTCTAGGGCAGTTTCTTTCAATGCATGCTCTGATCATGAATACTTGTAGCGGACTCTCTGCAGATCTCTGGGATTCTGTCTCAGTGTACCTGTCTTCTCTGTTATTTTGTCCTGTGAACTCTAGCTGCTGAGGCCTCCTGGGACTTTAGGGTCTGTCTCCTCAATTCAGGAAGTCTGCCAGGCTCTGTCTCAGCTTTCCCTTCCCTCTGCCATGCTCAGAAACTCTCTCAAGGTAGTCAGCTGGGGCAATTATAGGACTCACCTTGTTTCCTGTCTCCCAGAAATCATCTCCTTTGTTTGAAATCAATCTCTTTGATCTTGAAAATTGTTGTTTTATGTATTTTTGTCTAATTCTTTTTTAGATGTTTCAGGTGAGATGGCACATCCCTGTCACCAGAAAGGGAAGTCTAGTCACCGATTTTTCCTCTTTGAGATTTAATCCTTTCTCTCTTTTATTTAAACTTTTTTGTGGGAAAAATTTCAAGGCTCAGGAAAGTTACAAAATTTATTCAAGGAGCACTTATATACATTTTGCTTAATCAACTGTTGACATTTTGCCACACATTTGCATGTACTCACTCTCTTACACACACACACATTTTAACTGAAACATTTGAAACTGCAGACATCGTCATACCTCACCATTAAATAATTCTTAACTATAAAGTCACTTTCCATTATAACCATAATAAATGATCAAATTCAAGAAATTTTACATTAGCAGAATATTATCATATAATATATGAGCTGCTTTGATTATGTACTGTGAAGTAACAAATGACCCCAAAACTTAGAGGCCTAAAACATTAATTTATTACTGTTATATCTTATGTAATTCTGTGGTTCAGGAATTCAGATATAGCATAGTTAGGGCTCTTCTTTGCTCTATGATGTCTGAAGCCTCAACTGGAGGTTACTCTGAGGGGTTGAGGGCTGAAACAGTTGGGAGGTGGCTGGGCATCCCTTTTTATTTTTCCATTTGTCTTCTCTATATGGCTAGCATGGGCTTTCTCAGAGTAAGGCAGTCTAAGGTTTGCTAGGCTTCTTACATGGTGGTTCAGGGCTCCAAGAACAAGGGATGCTAGAGATAACCAACTATACTAATTGCTATCACACATGAGGTGATTCTCTGAAGATATAATATCTCCTTTATTGAATTTCTGCCAAAAATGCATAATTGAAATTTAATCATGAGGAAACAAACAAGCTTAATTTAAGGAAAATTTTATAAAATGACAGGCCTGTCCACTTCAAAAATGTCAATGTTATAAAAGACAAGGTAAGATGAGAAACTACTTCAGATTAAAGGAGACTATATTTGTTTGTTAAGGCTGCCATAACAAAATGTCACAGATCTGGCAGCTTAAACAATAGTGATTAGCTTTCTTACAATTCCAGAGGTTAGAAGTCCAAGATGAAGGTGTTGACATGACTGGCTTCTCTGAGGCCTCCCTCCTTGGCTTATAGGCGGCCCCTTTCTCCCTGTGGTCTTCACACGGTTGTCCCTTTGTGTTGCCTATATCTTAATCTCTTCTTTATAAAGGCACCGGTCATATTGGATTGGGGCCCACAATAACAACCCTATTTTAATATAATTACCCCTTCAAAGTCTCAGTTTCCGAATATTGTCACATTCTGAGGTACTAAGAGTTAGGGTTTCAACATATGGATTTTTTGGATTCAGCCTACTACAGAGACTAAAAAGCCTCCTTTTTATGTGGTCTTTGATTGGAAAATAAGTTGCTATAAAATATAGCAATTAGAATGAGTATGTGCAGTGTGGGAGATTAAAATAGCCTTGAATTCTTTGACATTCCTCTCACTGAGAAATGGGGATATATTTCCCTTCCCTTTAAGTCTGAACCTGCCTATGGCTGCTTTGACAAAATATAGTGGAAGAAGAAGCAGAACTGCCTTTTAAAGGGTGGGCTCAGAATTGGCATAGCTTTGCTTCTGCTCTGCTGCATTTGTCAAAGCAGTCACAGGTTGGTCCAGACTTAAAGGGAAGGGAAATATGTCCCCATTTCTCAGTGAGAAGAATGTCAAAGAATTCAAGGCTAATTTTAATCTCTCACACTGCACATAGTCATATTCATTTCTAATTATCTCAAAAATATACCTGTAGCAGCTTTTTTTCCAATCCAGGAATTAAGATGTCAAATCTCCTTAGTGTCCTTTAACCTGAAACTTTTCTCAACCTTCCTTGTCCATCATGACATTGCCATTTTTTGAAGTGTACAGGCCAGTTGTTTTGCAGAATGTCCCTTGATTTGGGCTTGTCTGTTTCCTCATGATTAAACACCGATTAGGTCTTTTAGGCAGGAATACAATAAAGGTGATGCCATGTCCTCAGAGCATCACCTCATGTATGAGGCCAACTTGTACTATTGGTGAAATTAACTTTGACTACTTGGTTAATGAAGTCTCTGGTAGATTTCTCCAATGTAATGGTACTCTATCATTGTTGTAATTGGTAAATAATCTCTAGGGATGCCCTTTTTTTAATTCTTAAAAAGCTTTTCTATATTTTGTGTTAGATAATTCCAGTATCTGGTTTAGACTCTTCTGTCTAAATCTGTTGCCAATATCTGATTTAAACTCTCGTGTCTAAATCTGTTGAGAATGAGTTCTGTTGACTGTCACTTCTGTGTGGCCTCTTGTGTTAAAATTGAGAACTAGTCTTTGCTGGAGTCCTATGGGAGTAAACTGCAGATGTGTCCTCCAAAGCAGGTTCCATTGCTTCTGCTTAGAGCACAGGGCATTGAGGACCCTCCAGTACTCCTCCTTCATCTTGGCTCGACCTGGAAGGCTCAAGTTTGGCTTCTCTTGTTTCTGTAACAAATCACAGTGCCACAGAGACTTCCATGTGCTGTCCGCATAGTTCAGATCTCCTGCTCAGGGCTCAGTGACCCAGCACTGGTTCCCCTGGACGGCTTGTCCCTTTGGGGTGGGGTGGTTCCTGGAGAATCTTATTTCCCCGTGAATGGGAAGGTCACCTGGACAATCTAGCAACACACCGTGATTTTTCACTCCAATCTTTAGTATAAATAGGATTCTGTCTTGGCTTTCTGTAACAATACCTTTGAAGAAATGTGGATTTCTCAAGATTTATTAACTTAATAACCTTAATAGTCCTACAAAAGGGGACAGCCAGGTGATTTGGTATACATTACGTAGTTGAAAAAGCTGGAACCTGTCAGGTGAGCTTATTAACCCTCTGAGGCCTCAGTTTTCTACTTTGTGAAATGGGAAGATTCATTATGTCCTTCCCAGTGCTTTGTGAGCATTTACCAGGATGAATCTGGGAAGCGTGCAGCACCTGGCACCAGAATTTAAATCAGCGAAAGGACAGGGAGGACCACCCTCCGCTTGCCGGCTGGCGCTCCTCCCACCGCCCGGGGCGGGACGTCTGGCGCGGGAGTGGAGCGCCGGGTGGGCGGAGGAACGGGCAGGCCCGCCCCCAGAGCACGGCGGCCACTCCCGGGGCGGCGGGGGCGGAGCGGGCTCCCGGGAGCCTCCTCCCGCGGCCCCGTTCCTCCGGGCGGAGCTCGCCGCGGCCGCGTTCCGGGTGAGTGCTCCCGGCCTGGGCTCCGCGCAGTGCCGAGCGGAGGGCGGCGGCCGGCGGCCCGGTTGGGTCCCCGGGCTGGGGCTGGGCGCGCGGGAGCCCGGCGCGGCCCGGCCTCGGTGGGGCTGTCCTGCCGCATCCCGTGCGGCGGGTCCGGGCGGGAGGCCTGTGGAGGCCGAGCCTGGCGGGAGGCAGAGGTCAGGTGCCGGCGCGCCGCGGCTCTCGCTCTGCTGCGGGCAGGGCACCGGCGAGAGGCTGCCGGCGAGGGAGAGATTCTGGAGTCGCCTCCGAGGCCCCGCGTGACGATTCTGGGGTCGCTCCCCGCCAGCACCCCAGTCCCCGCGGGCGCACCAAGGCGAAAAAGCGCCTTCCTCCTTAGAGCCCTCTTTCCCCCGGGTTTCTCCTAGGACGCCGACCTACTCAGCCCACCTGGGGCCTGCAGGGCCGGAGGACTTTGAGAGTCCCCTGGGTTTTCAAGTACTCCAGAGCCACCTGCCCCTGGTCTGCTCTGCGTCCATCCAGGTCTGTCGGCCGTGTCGGTTGACAGTTGGTCTAATGTTAGATAAGGGGGGCCAACTCCAGTTTGAAAACAATAGAAAAGTCCAGGGGGATTGGGACAGAGAGCCTGAGAGAGCATGTGGTCTGCATGGTGGTTGGCGGGTTGCTGCGGGTTCTCGAGTGGGTGAGGGATGAGGACGTGGGGGCGGTCAGGGCTCAGAGAGTACTCTTCAGCCCCTAGGTAATGGGAGGAATTAGTAATCTGCGAGTGGCGGAGAGGGCTTTTTTTTCCTAAAATTTTTAAGAAAGAAAAATAGCATGTTGGGACTTCAAGAAAGTTAAGGAATCTTGGCTAGAAACGAATAAGGACTCAGGGTCCAGGCTGAGAAATTCGGGATGGAAGGGCTTTTTTAGGCACCTGGGCTGGGCAGGAGTGCTGGAATGTGTCTGGGAAGGAGATAATGTTTGATTGGACCGTAGTTTATCTCTCTCGAGCTTTATCTTCTAGGGCAGGGTCAGCCTTTAAACCTCCATGAAATTGCAAACATTTTCGTGTACCAGCCCGTGTGCATTTTTGGGAGAGAACATCAGTGCTTTGATCAGATCAAAAACATCTGTTAAAGAGAAATATTGAAGTGGTTGACTACATAATTTTGGGGGGAGGCAACAATAAAACTTGCACTGTTATATATATGTGTGTGTGTGTGTATACACACACATTTGTAAATAACTACTTTATTTTGAAAAATCTACTTTAGAAATAACATATCTTATTAAAGACTTAAATTGCCTCTGTGAAATGATAAAGTTGATAAAGTTTCCCTTCTAGTCTTGAAGAAAGTTATACATTGTCAAAGCAAAACACTTTAACACATACACACACACACACTTTGGAAAGTCAGAGAATTAAAGCATGACTATTTTACCTCCGAACTATTGCTAGTGCTTAAAATATACAGGTATTTACCATAAGTTTTTTCAGTGTCATGTGTGGGAAGGATGAATATTAGGGTGCGATTTAATTTGACCAGCAACTATTGTTGATGAACCATCAGAAGGGTGGCTTATTTTACAAGGTATTTGTCCCTATTCAGTCTCTCAAAGCTCAAAAGGTCAGCAGCTCTAAAAGGATATTGTTCTTTGTTGAGTACAGTGAAATGGGTCGCACTGTTGTATTTGATATGCCACTTGATAGAACAAATGTTTAGTATATCCTTTTCAACTGATCTAATAATCGTAATGTGTGCTTTTCCCTGAGGTGCATGCAAATGGTTTGAGAACTAACCAGCTCTTTGAAGATCTTTTATTCAAAGTGGGAATATCCAAAGCCAAGTCACTGGTAGTTTTCTTCTCTCTTTTTTTTTAAGCCATCAGTGACCAATGGTTTCTCAAACCTACCTGGGTTCCTGTTGAAAATATGGATTCCCTGCCCTCACTTCAGGCCTTTGAAATAAAAGTCTCTGGGGATGTCGGGGAATAGGAATTTCAAACAGACCACAGGATTCTCTGGCTTTAAAAATTATCGACAGTCTCTGAAGTTTCTCTTTGAGATTTTGTCCTCTTTAGAACAGATTTCCATAAAGGTTATATGAATGAATTGGCCCCAAACTTACGGAACTTAAAGTTGTAATCCTTGTCTATTGAGTCATCTGTAAGGTTTAATATATTTTAGAAAAATTTATGTAGTCATTTTATCAGGAAAAACACATTGTTTCTGATTGTAGAAAACCCATTTCAGAAAAATTAGAAGATATGGAAGAAACAAAGTTTCCCTAATCCTGTAACTAAGAAACAACCATCAATGATTCTTTCTGGTATTTTATATATAAAAGACCACACATATATAGTGCATGATTGGGATTGTATTCTATATACATTTTTATATTCTGCTGAGGTTTTTTTCCCACTGTCATGAGCACTTTCCCATGTAGTTAAGTTTCTCAAACACCATTTTATGAAAGCATATGTTCCATCATTATGGAGGTACTGTAATTAAACCTATTGTTAGCATTTTGATTCTTTTTCATTTTTTAGTAATGTTGGTTTGAATATCATGGTCTAGTTTATTTTCTTAAAATTTCTATATAATGGTGTAAAAGCTATTCAAATGCATTTTTTAAATCTTATGTTCACATGTCTTACACAATGAAGATGAACATTTCTGAAGGATCTATTGCATTTCAGGTCCATTCTCTTATTTCAGTGTTTCTCAAACTTTAATGTGTGTAAGAATCACCTGGTGAGCTTGTTAAAAATTCATGTTCCCATCGCTTCTCGGCCTTTTGGCTAAGATCAAGTGTAGTATCTGTTCTTATCAGTTTAATATCTGATACGTCCTCTATCTGAGGACAATATATTAAATGGATTTTTGGAGCAGGGAGATGGAATAGGAGCTTGCTCCGTCCACTCCACGCATCGACCTGGTATTGCAGTACTTCCGGGAAGGGTGCACCTCCTCCCACGGGGAGATTAAAAAAAAAAAAAAATTCATGTTCCTTAGTTCCAGGTGCAGCTGTTCTGACCCATTAACTCTGGAGTAAGGCCAAGGATTCTGTAATTTTAACTAATTCCCTTCTTGGAACCACCCTTTGAAAAATGCCTTTTAAATAAATGGCAGAACAGATTCAGATATTTAATTCACTTGCCCAGAACCATTCATGCATCTGGTGACAAGATTTGAACTCAGCTATTTGTGACTTAAGAGCCCTTTTTTTCCATTATTTTAGACCTTCTCAAACTTTTTCATTGCTGTACCCCTAATGACTGCAGAAAGGGAACTCTGACCCCACTTCAGGGTCCTCTGGATAGTGGAAGAAGACACATAAATATACAGCGAACTTCTTTTAAAATTCCCCATCAGAAATTCTTACGAATTCTGTTACGCCGCATAACATATACTATATAAAACAATTTCAGTCCTTTACTTCATGTTCTACTTCAACATGAATTTTAAATTCACTTGTTTTAAATTTATTTCATGTTTCCTCTTTCAGAGGGAGGGACACTGTTACAGTGTGCTCGTGGGTTTGGGGTTTGGAAGGAAGACACCGTCTATACAGCAAGTCCTCTTAGAGTTAGGAAAGAGAGGCCCTGCTTTTGAGTGTTCAGGGACAGAAGAGAGAGGGTGGTGGGCATGACCAAGAGAGTGAGTTTGTTAGAGATGGGGCCCTCTACTCTTAGAAAAGGGTTGGTGTTAGTAACCCAAAGGGAGCTAGCATGGGCGTGAGCCTTCTCCAGTTTTTAAAATCTCCCCAAATGGAATTTTACACTTACTTAATTTTTCCCCTTATTTATTGATTTTTAATTTTCTTTCTTTTTTCCCTTGCCTTACCCATTTTAGTAGTAGCCTGGGATCATCGTGTGTCCTTAGGTATCTCAACTACTATGTTCTAGGTTGGTAAATAACCAACCAAATTGGTTGGTTACTTACCAAAATTCAGCCCCTGCTATGTGTCAGGTTAGTTTGAGTTCCAGGAATGCAAAAACCGGTGATTCTCTTTGAGAATTAAGTTAACTTTATTGCCTATACTCAATCTCTGACTCTTTTGATTTTTAATTAATTTTAGACTTAGAAAAAAGTTGCAAAAATGAAAGAGAATCCACTCAACTCCCCTTACTGTTAATTCTTTACGTGGTTATCAATACTATTAACTAAACTACAGACGTTCCTTGAATTTCATCGGTTTTTCCGACAGTGATTTTTCTGTTGCTGTGTTCTGTCCAGAATCCCTCATTGCCTTTGGTGTTTTCTCCTTCATCTCCTCCAGTCTGAGACAGTTCCTCAGTTTTTTTCTTGCCCTTCATTATTTGACCCTTTTGAAGAATATCAATTAGTTACTCCGTAAAGTGCAGTATCTCACTTATCCATGAGGTTGACAGGTTTTAAACACTGGTGATATTAAACTTGACCACTTGGTTAAGGTGAAATCTGCTAGGTTTCTCCACTACAAAGTTATTGTCTTTCCCTTTGTAGCTAATGGTTATCTTGGGAAATACTTTGAGAATGCAAATTATGTTTATCCTCAAATTTTTACCATTTTAACACCCATTGGTGGATCTTGTCTGCAACAACTATTACAGTCGTGTTTCCCTAATGGTGATCTTTTCCATTTCCTGCTTCCTTATATTAGAAGTTTACTGTAAGAAAGAGGCACCCTTTCTGTCCCCTTTATTTAATCATTTATATTAGTATGGAGTCATGTATATTCATTTTATTCTGTGGTTTAAAATACAGTGCCATACTTGTTTTCTTGCTCAGATGCTTCCAGATTTGGCCATTAGGAGCTCAGTCTTTGACATTAAATGACTTGTACATGTAAATAGCTATATCATTTTGATCCCACCCTTGCCCCCTGCCCAGGGAACCATTGCTGCTTTAGGAGCTGGGCTAATCAACTCAGAAGCCAGGTAAAGGAACTATACAAGAAGGCCAAAGAAGGCAGGACAACATATGTGCAAATAATCAGCTCTCAGGAACTCTGCAGGAGTGAATGGAATAGTAAAATAGCAGCCTCTCCACTGTGCCTCCTGAGGGTCCCAAGAAAGTTGGACCATGTGCCTGGGCCACATCACACCCACTGTGAGATGCCTGGTATTTGCAGTGGTGCCAGATGGTTTCAGAAACATTGAAATGCTGATTTTGTCAGTCTTTGCTGCTGAATGAAGACCATACCCTTTCTCCTTGGTGCGTAAGTGCTTAGTAAATATTTAGGGAGTGACCCCTGGTGTCTTCCTCCTACCTCCCTCACAGTTGTACCAAAATGCGTCCCTGTAGAGATTTTTCAAGACTGACATTTAACATTGGTGCTGATTTACTGTTTGTTATAGCTTGTCTGCCTTGCTGGATTTGTTCTTTTGTTATTATGGAAAATTTTGAGCATACTTAAAATCAGAGAGAGAAAAAAAATGAACCCTGAGGTACCTATCACCCGATGTCAGTACTTCTCAATATTTTGCTAACCTTACTTTATCTACTTCCCCATTTCGGGATATGGGGCTGGCATATTGAAAACAAACTGCAGACATCGAGATCTAAGAAAGCAATGAAATGAACTCTTTGAGTGCAAGGATTATACCTAATTCCCTTTGCAAGCCGGTGGTGCCTAGCACTGTGCCTGAAAATAGCAGATGCTCAGAAAAGACTGAATTGATAGGAGGAAAAATACAATTATGAAAACATCACTATTCTGAACTAACTAGGGCAAGACATCTAGAAAGGAAAATGTTGATGAGTCTTGCCCTAAAATTACTTCTTTCATGTTACCTGAATTTGTTCTGCATAGTCACGATTCCCTGTCACTTCAAAACAGCCTCGATTGGAAAAGAAAATTTTACAGGGAGAATTCAAGGTCTCTCAATTATTTAGATGTTATTATAAAGAAGTCCAGTCTGATGACATTTTCCCAAACATCAACCAGGAGTTACCTGCTCTAAAATAACTCTTAAAAAAATTATGCTTTTTTAATTATAAAAGTAATATATACTCATTGAAAGAAAAATAGGAAATTGCAGAGAAAAGTAAGAGTCACCTGTATTTCAGTATGTAGTTCCAGAGATAACATTATCTTAGCATTGTGATACAAGTTAGGCATGAATTACATTGGTAATTCATCAATAAATATCTATGTTTCTGGAAGTGTACCAGGTGTGTTTGGGTGTACCCTGTCATTAAATTCTTACAGCAACATTTTAAGACAAGGGCTTTTTATTTCCTTGACTTGTTTTATAGCTGGGGAAACATGCTGACAGAGGTCGCCTTCAGTCATTTAGCTGGTAAGCAAGCCAGGCAGGAGATCGATCTCCCTCGAAAGACAGTTGGGCCAGTGTTACAGGCCCTTCATTCCTTGGATGTTTTCTCACAGGAAGCAAAGAGGCTGCACACCTGAGCTGCTTTCATGCTGCAGGGCTCCTGCAGTCTGTTCTGAGGAGAGCACTAAGGTTTAGAAAAAGGGCAAAGTGATGGTTTTAAACTGGATCCCACATAGTCTCAAGAAGCAGGGTTAGGAATGAGGGGCTCATTATTCAGTAATTAATAAGACTGGCTCCTTATTACTTTTATAAAATATTTCTTGTCTTTGGGCCGACCTAACGGGGGACAGTTCAGCAGTATTTGTAATTATTCCCAGCTCGCTACTTCTTGGGCAGGTGTTTAAATCTCCCTCAACCACACTTCCTCCCTCTGTGAAATGAGGGTGGCGGAAGTCTGTGCGTTTTCTGGTCCTTTTTGCTTCTAATGCTTTATTCAATGACCTGAAGCCCCTTTAGCCAGGTGAGTCTCCTCATCAGCGGACTGTCCCTGCAGGAGCAGCTCTTAGAAAAACAATGTTCCCGGTGTAAATTTTCCAAGGTTGAGATTTTTATACAAAAATGATCACCAATCCTAGCATTTAAGCCTCTTGTATTTCAGTTGACAAGTGGTTGTCTGATTGGTCCCAGGACCTTGCAGACCTACTGTTACCTGGAGGGAAGAGAACAGACCTCAGGAAGCCATTTAAACAGATAGTTCAACGGAAAGTGACTGTAGGAGTGGGAGAGGGGAGAAGGCTGCCAGAGAGAACTCTGCATATTTCAAGGGTTTGTGTTGGGCACATAAAAGACTAAGGGGAGGTAAGAGATTGAGTATCCCTGGGAAGGAGGTGGCAGAGCCCTGGCTTTGGAGCCTCGGTGCAAAGGTTGCTGAGCTCCACCGCTTAGGAGTTGTTGGTGTTGGAATGGGTTCCTTCATCTGTCTAAACCTCTTATGTTCTCTAGAGCATGAAGCAAATAATTCTTACAGAGCCGAGATGAAAATTAAGTAAGTTAATACAAGTGATTTAACCCCAGTGCATGGCCCAGAGTAAATGCATAAATAAATTACTCTTCTTTGTAGCTGTTACTGCTGCGTGCAGCAGCCCCTAAACACAGGCCATCCTGTGTAATTGCTTCCTGGGTCAAATTTTCTCTTTTGTGGTTTGACCCAGGAACCTCCATTTTAACATGTTATCTAAAGAGAAATACTTTCCAGGTTTTCCTCAAACTAACCTAAAGCTAAATTTTTTGAATACTACCCTTCAGTAAGTATGAGTCTATCTTGAGAGTTGCTAAGATTGTTTTGGTTTTATTTTTGTTTTCCACAAATTACCACATCCCCACATCTCATTTTAAAAAAACAGACAAAAACTTTTGTTATAAATGAACAGAAGTGCAGCATACAAAATTCTAAAAGTAAAAGAAAAACCACCCCTGATTACTCTTATACTCCTAATAAAATTATTGCTAGCTTTTACTTCTATTGCTTTCTAGAGTTTTCTTATTTCTATAGTCTTAGTGGTAATCATATACACACCATTCAGAGTGTATTTTCTGTTTTTGGTACTTAAGATTTAATCCTATGTGTTTTCATGTTACTGGCAAGAAAATATTTTGGCCTCCATTCTGTCCATTTAGCTGAAGATCTATTTGGCTAGGAAGATTATCAGTGCCCTGGCCTTAGCATTTTCTGTACTCGCCTGTTAACACGTTTAGAATTTGGGGAGAGGAGGGCTATGGTTTGGGCAGGCAGAGAAGATGGGGTTTTGCTGGCTGTCCCCAGGGGGCCTCGCCAAATAGCCTTCGTCACTTGGCCTGTGGTGGGCCCTCAGCTGTGTGGCCTCAGAAACTGGATTTTCATCAAGCATGGCCACCTCTCAGAGGCGAATTCATACTATCCCACCGCATGGGATTGAAGTGTGAAGTCAGAATGGCAGTTCGTCAGCTGACAGAAACAGTACAAAAGAGTGGTCACCCCCAGTGTGTCTGCCTGTTGGCTGTTCCTTGTCTTGAATCACTTAATGCAAAGTGATATAATAATAGCAGGAGTATAGTCCCCATTTAGTGGGGGCTCACTGTGCGTCAGGAGGGGGCCTAACACTCATGTATGCATACTGTAGGTCCTTCACACCCACAGTAATCTCTAGGTAGATACTATTTTTGTCCCCTTTATGCAGATAAGGAGACCACAGTTCAGTTAAGTGACTGCCTCAAGGTTTCATGGCTAATTATGTGGTGGAGCTGCAGTTTCTCCCTAAATAAGCCCCTGATCTTAACTACTATACTGTTGCTCTACCTGTAATTCTTAGAGATGGTTGACCTGTGTTGGCACTTGTTTCTTGCTCCCAGTCCCACCTGTTGGGATGTGTCCCGTTATAGTACCTCTTTGTGAATGTAACATCTAGAGCTGAGAAATCCTTGCTTTTTCATTTCCTGTTGTTGAGGAACATGTTTTTAGCTCTCACAAAGAACTTTTGTTTTTTTCCCTTACTTTCTTTTTTGGTTAAAATACTCCCCGTAGCAAGATTTCACATGTTGGTAACCTCTTAAGGCGGTGTCAGGAAGGGGCAACTAAGGAAGAGAACTACTAGGGTTCATTTCAGGCTGTACCCAGTTCAGAACTGAGGAGGCATTTACAGTCTCCTCTTTGCCTTCTCTTTCTGTGGAAATTACTTTTCTTCTTGGGTGACGGACAGCCTGGGTGATAACTCGGAATTCTGACATACAGACGGTTGGAACTTTCCACCTGTTAAATGTCTGACTTTCTGATCTCTCCTGCCTTGCTGCAGAACTCCCAGAACTGTTAGTCAAGATCCACTGGGGATAGGTCTTCAGTTTGTGCTGGGGGAAATCATTTCAGGATAGCATTTCCATTTGAAACAACATGGCTTTGTGATTGCCTTTTAGAGATTGTTGGAGCAGATCTACTGAGCAGAAACAGGCATTGTCCTCAGTTGTCATCAAGTTTACAATCAGATTGGAAACGTTGAAGCTTCTTGCCTGCAATTGAGGTGAAGACAGACTTACTGCTCATATAATAAAAGACATGGGTTTCAACTTGACTTTCTACCTTTCCTACAAATTCCGATTACTGTTGCTTTTTACCTTGTGCCTGACAGTGGTTGGGTGGGCCACCAGTAACTACTTTGTGGGTGCTATTCAAGAGATTCCTAGAGCAAAGGAGTTCATTGCTAATTTCAACAAGGCCATCGTTTTGGGAAAGAAAGAAACTTTGACTACTGAAGCATCCTTGAAGAAAGAAGACCTCACCAGCTGCCCTTCTGTGTCCCCATACCTCAGTAAGTTTTTTTTTTCCTTTTTCTTAAGTTCTGTGGAAACTTTTCATTTAATTATGACATATGTACAGAAAAGTACAGATATCAGAAATGCACAGCTATGTTAAATTTCACAAAATGGACATACCTGTGTAATTAGTATGTAAATCAAGAAATGAGCTCCTCCTAGAACTCTAGATGTTTCCATGGTTCTTTCAGTTACTACTCTTCAAGATTCTAATACCATCCATTAGATTTTTCATGCTTTTGAACTTTACATAATTAGAACCATACACTGTACTCTTTTGTGTCTGGTTTCTGTTCAGCTTTATGTTTGTGAGATGTATTCATATTGCTGATGTATAGTCTTCCATCATATGAACATAACCGATTTTTATTATCCAGCCATGAAAGGCTCAGTTGCACATGTCAGCAGGCATGTATTTAGCTCACAAGTGTGCTGTGTGAGCCCTGGGGCCAGTTGACCTAGGCTGGTGGCTCTGCTGCATGTGTCTTTCATCCTCCTTCTGGGACCAGTGGGCTAGTCTGGGGATGTTGCCCTCCTGTCATTCACACAGCACAGTGTACAAGTGGGGAAATGCAGGCACATTCAGGGCCCCGCTCATGTCATAGCTGTTAACATTCCCGTGGCCAACAGGATGGAGTTGAGGGACAGGAGTGAGTATGTTTTTTAGCATTATTTATTGTTAATTTCTTAAATATGTTGTATGTTTTGGTTCCTCATTGATGTCTCGCCTTTCAATTAAAATTAACAGTAAATTTGTTTTAGTAAACACAATGGGAGAGGAAAACTCCACGGTGATATTATATATAGCCCACAAAGGGTCTATCAGACCTCTGATTCTCCAGAACTTCAAAGCGCTTATAGTTCTCAACACTCCTCGGAGCCTTGTATTTCTTCCCAGATGGCTTCTCTTTAATCTATGTCTGCTGGTGGATTTCTGTTTATTCCTCAGGAATCCCGTTCAGAGTACTCCTCTGAGAGGTTTCTGGGATGGCCCTAGTTAATCTCACACTCCCTGTGTGCCTGCCTGCATCTCGATAGTTGTGCTGCTCACAGCGTATTGTTGGCGGGGGGGGTTCGCCTTTCCTCTTCTGGAGGCAGCTCATGGGTGGGAGGAAGGTGGGGTGGTCCTTTCTGGCTCTGCAGAGTCCAGGGCATCTCACTGGTCGTACAGAGGTGGCGCTCTGCAGACACTAAGTTAACTCTCTTAGGGGTGGCCTGTGGCTCTTTGGAGGCTTCTTGCTCCTGGCTGAACAAAAACCCACAGACCCTCTTTCCTAATTGGATCACAGTCCTGTACTGTGTTCATACTGGCATACCACTTCTCTCTACTCACTCATGGAAAAGCCAAAACATTACTCTTGACTGTGTTGGGGAAATTGTTCTGCTCACAAATTACACAAATTGAGATAGGAAAATGAGTCATTGAAGTACACATCTGACTGTATTATCCCCCTTATTCAAAATCTTCACAACATATTTAAGCAATAAATGCATTGATAAAATTGGGCAATGATGCAGTAGTGAGCAAGTACATAGATTAAGAGGGTGATGTAAGTAGTGATGAATTAAGAAGAGCCATTAGTGACCCAAGAGGAACACAACTTGACGAGATGTCATAGAGGTGGTGGAGAGACTGACAGAGTGAGTGGAAGCAAGTACTGAAAGGTTAGGGCACATAGAAAATTAGGCCAGTGAGAAAGTGAGCAAGGGGACTGATTTATACTAGACCTGTTGCATGGGGCTCTTTCAGAGGCCAAGAACAGAGCCATGGCCAGGCTAATGTACACAGGAAACCGTCTCAGCAGCCATACCATCTCCCGGCATCTCTGTGGCCTGGCAGCAGTGCTAGAGCTTGCCTTGCATATAACTCCTTTTCATACTGTTGTTTTTAGGCATGCAGACCCTTCAGGAAAGGCTCTTGAACCACAAGATCCCCTGTTGGTGGCTGGAAGCAGTTACTTGTCCTTGGTGCTGTGGGGCAGAGGCTTTCTGCTACTTCATGAACACTACAGCCTGGTCTAAGTAGCCATGGCCAGGGTAGGGGACGGCCTCATGGAGCAAGGCGTGGTGACGTGCACACAGGAAGGGCCTTGCTCAGGAGAGGATAGCGTGACTCGCAAGAATCTTGAGATTTTACAGCCTGACAAGTATATGTTCCCTAATGAGAGCTCTGCCTCCTCTTCTCAGTCAGTATTCTCTGTTAATTCAGATTGAAGAGGAGGGTCAGTGGCTTCAGCCTGATCTTTAAAGCCTGGTATGAGATTGTGTACCATGGATGGCCCTTGGGTTTCATCCAGTCAGGCTGTGTGCAGACTTGCTGAGCAAGCGCTCCATTGGGATGCCTGCTGCCACGGCCCAGCATTGCACATCCTGGTACTGCTGGCTAGGGAGTGAGGCCAGTTTCTGCTGCTTTCAGTTTGGAGGATAGCTCCCAAGAAGCTCAGGGAAGGCGTGAGAAAAGGGCCTGGTCAATGAGCTTGATTTCATGCTCTTGATCTTTGAGAGAGTTCACCCTCCTTTGGAATTTTGAGAAGGAAAAGAGGAGAGCAAATCTGAAGTTCCTCAGTCTAGTCCTGACCTCTGCTCTTCACCCGGGTCACCGGGACAGATGTACCTCGGATGAATCATACAGCCAGAGCTGGTTACTCAGTTGCCACGAATGCTCTTGTATGTCATTTACTTCCATTTGCAGCCAGTAATCTGAGTCACTTGATTCTGTGGTTACAGTTTATGACTACAGGAAGCTTTAAAGTAATAATAATAAAAGCTAACACTCATACAGTGCTCAGTGTATTCCAGGCAATGTTCTAAGTGCTTTCCCTGTACTAGCTCGTGTAAGTTCAGCAGCACTTGAGATAGCTACTATTATTTACTGCATTCTGCTTGTATTGCAGGAGGCCAGAACAAGCTCATTTTCAAGCCCGATCTCACTCTGGAAGAAGTGCAGGCAGAAAACCCCCAGGTGCACAGAGGCCAGTATCACCCTGAGGAGTGTAAGGCTTTGCAGCGCGTTGCCATCCTCATCCCGCACCGGAACAGAGAGAAGCACCTGGTGTACCTGCTGGAGCACCTTCATCCCTTCTTGCAGAGGCAGCAGCTGGAGTATGGCATCTACATCATCCATCAGGTGAGTGGTGGGGGGGACCAGGCCTTGGCCCTCCAGGTCCTCCTCTCTCTGAGGGACTTGGCCGTTTGTCTGTTTGGGGTCAAAGGAACACCTGACTGTCATCAAAGGAGAGGTCACTTATCTCATGTATCCTTGGAAGGAATAAAGGAATTCTTGCCCCAGAGTGTGAAGTAATGGGACTAAGTGCTGAGAGATTTTACTGCCTTTTAAATGAATCCCTGGAGGAAGGCTGTTTTTCTGTGAGCCCTTCCCGGTTAGCCAGTGACTGCCCTAAGATTTTTCCTGGAGTTTTATTGTACATTTCCTTCTGTATTTGCTATATGCTGCTTGATGAGATGTTGGAGTTGTTTTTCACTATTGAGTGTGGCTGGTCAATGGGGGTCTAGACAGAGGGTTCCACAAATTACTGTGTGTTAACAGCAGGGAGTTCTAGGACTGTCTCCACCTTTCTGCCTTTGACTTTGCCTCTATTTATTAAGTAAACCATGTTATGTGAGTTCTCACTTTCTTGATTCACTTATTTGGCTTCGAGAAGCATGATTTATTAGGAATGCAGTTAAATGTAAGTGTAGGCTGCTTTTGAAGAGTTTCACTCTAAAATGAGTGAATGATTAAAGATGCTTTTATTTGGTATTGATGTTTTATTTGGCATTTTATTTGGTATTAACATTTATTGAACGAAAATCAACTTAAATATTCATATCTAGCTTTTAAAAATTGTTCTGGGCCTTCCAAATGGTTCCCCCTGAAATCCTTACAAATGCTAACAATGCAAATACTACATCCTTAACATTGGTTATAACCGGTACTGCTTGTTTTAGGGGAGCTTTTGACAAACGAGAAGATAAAGTTCTGTAGTGTATACTTCATTATAAACTAGGGCTCTTGAAACTCATGTGCATATATAATGCACATTCCTGCCTATTTTTTTAGGATTTGAAACAAAATTTTACTATTCTAGTGTTTTATAATTATTTTTGTAACATTCTTAGTCCTGAGTTTTTACTGAAGATGGCATGTGTGATATTTTTAGGAATAAAAAAAATCTGCTTTGTGTTCTTCTTTTCAGGAAAGTACTGTGGCAACTTTTGAGGACTGCTTATATTTGTTATGATAGAAACTGTTTATTGAACTGGAACATATTCTTAAGGAATTTGATCCAAAATCCATGTAAAAATTAGTATTGTAAAATCTTTTCCATACTATAGTTTTGGTCGTATTATTGGTGAAACTGTGTTCTTTTCTTATATAGTGACGAATCCCTTCTAGAAGGCCACTGTGAGGATTAACTTGCATCATTAAATGTTGAAAAAGGATTTCTTTACGGTGATTCCAAGAAACTTTTAAGTAGCTTTGAAATATTAGCAATAACCTCTATTGGTCAAGATTTCTTGATCCTTTCTTTTTAAGTTATATCTCTTGGAAGCTAAGTGTAAGCTTATTATATAGGGTAGGATTGGGATATGCTGAAAGTTAAACAGTAAATCCATAATGCCAACTGACATGACTAATATGTAAGAAAGGTTTTATAGTTTTATGTGGAATCAGTAAAGGTATGTTTTTAAAGTTGTTTTAAGTTATTTTTACTTGCATTTAAAAATTAACTGTGGTTAAATACACATAACAAAATTTACCATCTTAACTGTTTTTAAATGTACTGTTCACTAGCGTTAAGTATATTCACCTCATTGTGCAGCTATCTCAAGAACTTTCTGTCTTGCAAAACTGGAATACCCATTAAACACTACCTTTTCAAGCTTTGTTTTAAGTTATGGAATATAAGTATGTATGAAACGTAAGGAAAAAAACAAGTCCTCTTATTGTTATTGCATCTACTCTGTCAGATCTTCATGTCACAAGTATAGTCTTGTATGTTAGCATGAATAGTACCAGCTTCTGTATCTGAACTGAGGACCATGTTCAGTGTGAAACCTAATCTCTGGAGCTTTTTAAGTTTTAATTTCTTTTCTATAGGCTGGGAGTAAAAAGTTTAATCGAGCCAAACTCTTGAATGTGGGCTATCTGGAAGCTCTCAAGGATGAAAACTGGGACTGCTTTGTGTTCCATGATGTGGACCTGGTGCCTGAGAATGACTTGAACCTTTACAAGTGTGAGGATCAGCCCAAGCACCTGGTGGTCGGCAGGAACAGCACTGGGTACAGGTAAGGCTGCTCTGCCCGTGGCTGCTCAGGTTGGGAAGCTCAGTCTGTTGTCATCGGAGCCCTGCAGGATGTGGTATCCACCATGTCTTAGGAAAATGAGAACTAGGACAATGGTCCATATGTATCACTTAAGGTTCAAAATAGGAATCAGAGAAGTTGGTTTTTTCCCAATTAGGACAAACAGCCTTGGCAGAGGATGAAAGACAAAAGCAGAAGAACAGGCAAGGGAAAATACTCCAAGCTTTGCACCTTGTGGACAGCCTCACCTGCAGTGTCCATGTGGCAGGACTTTCTCAGACACTGCCCATGCTCAGTGTTACCTTAAGTACCTTATCTGTCTATCGCTGACTTCCCCTACTAGGAGGCACACGAGCGTGCCCATGAGGTCAACTTTAGGCCTCTGTTGTAGACTGTGATGTCTCTTTCCAGAGTTCTCAGGGAGAGTGGGGAGCAACATATCTACTGAGCAGTTTGCTCAGGAGCCAGGATACCTGGGACAAGTTCCTTTCCTTCAAGGCCACTATGAGAGGTGTTACGTACCATCATTTCTGACTCCATGCCCTTCCCTCTCTGCCTCCCAGAAGAGGCATAGTTGCTTTTCAACCTTATTTTATATCAGCTCCTGTTCCTGTTTAAGCACAACCAAGGGAAAACAGTGACCAAGAAAATCCTCCACAAATGGAACTATTTATTTACTTGTGTGTGTGCACAGTTCCCTGTCAGCTTCCCCATGCTTTGCCATCCATGTGTGCTCAGGTCTGTGGTGCTTACAGTGCTAAGAGCCATGAGACCAACTTGAATAAAGGTCTAGTATCTACCCTCAAAGAGATCTTATTGCGTGTTGATGTGGAAAGACAGGCAGCTACAGTGGAGTTGCATCAATTTTGCACTTCTGCAAATAAACTATAAGTACTTGGTAATGGTGGGGAGAGAGAGGAGGAGGAAAGAAGAGGGAAAAAATTATAAACTATAAAATAATACAGGAGATTCCACCAGTGTGGAGTCTACTCTGCAAAGTGAACATGAAATGGAAACCACAGATCTCTTGGTACTCCTCTAGTCTCGGTTTCCGTGTTGCTGTTACGGTGTAAGTCTCTCACTTTGGACCGTTTAAGAGATTTCCAAGAGTAACACTGCAGGTGATTTTTGCAGTGACTTTAAATTGAATCCCTATATAAACTGTGGGATGTTAAGTAAATACCTAGAATAAGCTACAAAGGGTGAGAGCACAAGGCCTTTAAGACACACCTAGGTAAGGGGGCAGTCAAAGCTGCTCCCTAGGGAACTTGGCACCTTCACCCGTGGAATCAGTGGGAGCTTCCCAGCAGAGTTCCAGAACATAGAAGCAAGAGAGAACATGGCACAGTTTTGGGGGGAAGTGCAGACAGCTCATAAGTGCCCAAGAAGGAATATCTGGGATGGTGGAGGGAGGAGAGGCAAGTAATAAGAGCAGGCTGGGGCCAGACTTTCTGTTAAGCAGTTTGGATTTCCTGTGGGAGGGACTAGGGAGCACGTGGATACAGCTGGCGAGTAACAGGAGAAAGCTCAGTTCAGCTTTCTGTGTGTTCAGTTTAATGTATTGGCTGGAGCAAGGCAGGAAGGGAGATAAAGAAGGAAGAGATGCATTCCCCTGCTTTAGAGCAGGGCACTGGGGCCAGAGGGCAGGGCAGGGGAGGGGTTTGGAAAGAATCACAGGATGTTTTTCCTTCGGGGAACTTGATCTTGATCATTATCTTATCTGAAGGTTTTGTTTCCTGGTCTCTTTGAGCCACCTCTTCACTGAAGGAAGCTGCATATTATGTCTGGGTGTGCCAGTATTCTCAGAAGTATGTCAACCATCTGTTCACTTACTGTGTGAAATTGAGATGTTAGTATCTACAGCACAGAATACCTGTACTTTGGACCTTTGTCATGGATGATAACTTCCCATTGCTCAGTTCTTCCTAAACATCTGTGGTGAGAAATTCCCATCACACAGGGTTGGAGTTTTGGTTTATTTTTGGAATGTGGATATACAGGATTGTTTTAAGGACAGGATCACAACCTGAGTTCTGGGGCATTCTTGCTGGGAATCAGTGTTGAGTAAAACTTTGGGGTCACAATCATGGATTTCATCAGATGCCACTCACTCTAAAAACAACACCCATATGGCAGTCAGACCCTCTCCAGTTGCTTGGACCCCTTTCCAAGTGTACTTTCATTTTGCTCATTAAACTCCTTGCTGATTTTACTCGCTAAAAGTAAGTATATAAATACATAAGACAAACCCTGTATGAGTCTTGCTGTTCAACTTGCTTTTGTAACTGGTCAGAGGTTTCTTGTATAACTAGAGGTCAGAAGCCTTTGTTTTCCTTGAGTAACTGGCAGATTTTCTTAATGTGAATCAGGTAATGGAATATGTCTCTTCTTTTGATCTGGATGCAAGAAGTTGTGAATCAAATCCATGGCTGCCTTTTAGTAGCTTAGAATCTTATTTGCAGATCAGAGTTCTAATGTATTTCCTATTTTAATCTTCTGAGTTCAGTTTCCCTTGGGTTCTGGTTGGCATTTGTATTTGTCTCCTTCGTTGTTTGCATCCAGTAACTGCCTTTGCCCCTGTGGCCGTGGAGAGCCTTGTGTGAGTAATGTAGGAGCTGCCCTCCTCCCCACGGGTTCTTACTTCTGCTGCTCTGGGCAGTCGCTCTGGTTGCTGGCTGGGGTTAGCAGGCAGCTAAATGTCTGCTCCCTGTTGGTCACTGTGTGTCACTGTGCCACTCAGCTCATATCAGCACATGCTTTATTCGTTGTCACAAGAGCCCCACGAGTATGAAGAGAAGAGCAAGAAGTGTTTTCACGTCACATGCACGCAGAGGGAGTCACTAAGTGGCTTGCCCCAACTGTCTCAGACACTGATGAAGCCAGAATTAAATCTTGTTTATCCCACTGACTGTAAGTCAGTTATAAAGCTCTAGACCAGCCTGTAGCAAATTTTACAGCCAGGAGTTCCTTTGGTACCTGTCAGAGGACTCTAATGTCATTTTGTGACTACACTTTCCCCACCTTTGGGCCTTCCCACCTTTTAAAATTAAATAAAACTCTTCTAGGATCAATTAAATATTTATATTTTTCCAGATGAGAAGAAAAATCAGAAGGGAAGCTTAAATTGGCCATCCGGGAGTCTGAGAAGCCTTTCTTGGTGACTGGCTGGTCTTCTGTGCCTCCCCCTCCAGCTGAACCGCTCTGCAGGCGCTCTCCAGACACCCTCCCTTTTCTGCTTCTCCACCTTTCCTCAGAGAGTTCTGGCCACCTCTTGGCCACCCCCGTTTTTCTGCCCATCTGAATCCTTATCACTGCTGGATCATCCTCTGGTCCTGTCCTGGTGACCCCTTGCTCGTTGGTGCTTGGACGGTCCTGCTCAGACAGCGGTTCTGCTCAGGGTCCTGTGAGGTGGCTGATCTTCAGGTGGTTAGGGACGCCTCTGGTAACCATGGGAGCAGCGCACTGCAGTTGCTGTCTTGGTCAGGAATAGTTTGTAATAATACCATGCTCTGGAGTTTAGGTTGGGGATCTATAAGTAAATCTGTTTCCTTTATCGGTTAAACAACTGAGCTACATACTGGCTTTTGGGACTCTACCTGTTAGATGGCAAGTGACTACATATACTTACTGAACTTTTGTTTGGTGTTTCTTCTTTTCTAGAAAAGCAGGAATATTTAATTGTTCCTGGAGCCCTTTGAACAGGAAAGTTAGAAATCCTCCATATAGTCACACCTTTTTATTCAGTAACATCCAAGTTAGTAAGCTGCCTTCATTTCCATTGCTGAATTGTTACAATGTTATATTAAAGAGATATCTATTTCTCAGATTGACTAATATGCCCATGAATGAGCCGTATGACTGGGAGGTGCTTTCTGACTGGTACCTCTTGATCTCTTCTGTCTGCATTTTCCTGTTGATATTCCCACGGCTCCATCCTTTGTACTCTTCTCCTCTCACCTACTCCTCTGTGCCTTCAAGTACTGCCTCTCGGCAGCTTATTTCCAAAGCCACATGCAGAGTCACTCCTCTTTTTTCAGCTTGGACTCTATCCTTTTGCCCAGTGGCAAAAGCCCAGGGCTGGCTCAACTTCATCTTTACTGTCTTCCCCTTAAAATTTAACTGTTCTGTATACCTTATTTTTGTGAAAGGCACTGTTGTCCACCTAGTTGTCCAAGCCAGAAACCACAGGGCTGTTGAGGTGTGTTGGGGTCTCCAGTAAACAGAATCTGAGATGGAGATTTGCATGCACAGAAGTAGAAATTTGCGTATAAAGAATGTGCAGGAGCTGTCTCTTGCTCTTCACCCCACCCCCTAAAAAAAGGAAAAGTAAGAACGGTATATTCATTATGATGCTCATTCATGCTGAACCTGGATGCCACCTCAGAGTCCTTAACCCAGTACCCTGGCAGCCACTCTGTTCCTGCGTTAGCATGTGAAAACACCTGTATTCAGCTCTGATGTTATGGTGCACGTTTGTAGGTACCTCTGCAGACATCTGCACACAAACGTTAACAATGACAGGTAGGCGGCACCTTGCTCAGTGGCCACATGTGAGTACTTGACTAGACGGAGGGAAGAAGGCTGGGCAGAAAAGGCCAGGACCGCTGTGAGGTGGATGTCAAGCAGGAGTGGGCGGGTGAAAGCGCACGACTTCCAAGTGCTCATAGAATGCCAGCCCTGAAACCAGAAGTATCTGTAGAACCAAAGGGCTCTGTGCTAATATTCTTACCTTTTCTCTCTTTTTGCTCCAGGTTACGTTACAGTGGATATTTTGGGGGCGTTACTGCCCTAAGCAGAGAGCAGTTTTTCAAGGTGAATGGATTCTCTAACAACTACTGGGGATGGGGAGGCGAAGACGATGACCTCAGACTCAGGTGAACAGCAGAGACAGGTCCCCTTCACGAGGCTTTGCTATCAGTGGTGGCTCTGGAAGCTACGTTTATCCACAGTTCCTGTAGATGCCAGTCCAGCAGGTCCCAAGCCTGCAGATCTGGCCTTACAGGATGCCAGAGGGTGGAGGACTCCACTTGTCCTGTGCCATCTTTGGAAATGATGGAGGGTGGTGTTTGGGGTCCAGCAGTGTTGAAGGAGGTCTCTGTGGACTTCTCAGCAGACATTATTACTGAGACAAGTCTCTCTAGAGTGAATGAAGAGTACCAGATGGCCAGGCATCGCCAAGCTGCAGTTTAAGGGAAGTGGCCAGAGGGCCTGTTGTAAGCCTGTGCTTTTCTTTCAGACCTCTGGCGGTCATGGCTCAGCTCCCAACGCCCTGAGTAGGGAGTGTGACAGCCTGTGAGGGGCTGCATGCCTGAAGCAGACCAGATGTCCTCCCCTCCTTTTGCATTAGCCAGCCCCACATGCCGTGGGAGCAGCCACTGACCTGACTCTAGGCTGCTGGCATTACCCTCGGATTGTCTTGGAGTACTTCATGTTCGGGGGTGTTCGAAGGGAATATGTCTGACCTTCTCTCATCTCCCTCCCATAGCCAGATAGTTACAGGTTCTCCTAGCTCCCAGAAGTACTTATTCAAGAGCCTGGGGCCAGTATCTTCAGACTTCTAATAACAATCTCTCAGGTTATTAGGAGACTCTTTTTCCTTCTGCTGTTGCCCTTTGGACATTCTTAGCTGGGGTGAAAATCTTCATTGCTTCAGTGTAAAGAAGCCAGGGCCTGTGCTGCTCTTGCTCCCCTGTCTAGGCTGAGAGTCTCTGAAATGTTTCTGGTGGGAGGGAATGGATTTCTCTGACCAGAGGCCCCACAGGAATAGTCGTAGCGATGGGCAGTAATGCTTCACAGCCCAGCCTCTCCACAGCCTGTGTGGCTGCCGCTTATGAAACAGACAGAGGGTGCCCGGTAGATTTCAGGGCAATAGTAGCAAGGACCAGAGGTAAACAATATCCACCCTCTTCCCCAAATCCGTTTCACTGCCCAGATGGGATGATGAGTAGAATTCTGCACTGATCATGTATGTTCACTATCTTTTCTTCAACTTCAAGGTAGAGGGGAGTCCCAGGTTTTGCTCTCATTTAGTAAGAACATCATGGCCTCCAGAGTGGTTCTTGACTGATGCTATGGATAAACCAAATGGTTTGAACATAAAAGGAGGTTGAGATTTATTTACTCACCTGTGCAGCAGGCACCACCTTCCTTGCAGTTACCTATTACATCACAGCTTGTAAAGCATGTTCCCTGTGGACTGGCTCATGTGAACCTGTCAGATCAACTCGGTAACCCCCATGCCACTGTACAGATGATGACGTCGAGACCTAGAGTAATGAACTGACTTATACCAGGATTGTAAATAACAAAGTCTAAATTTGACCCTATGTGTGTAGGCTGTAAAGCTTGTGAACTTAAATGGTTATTACTCTTTGTAAAAAGAAGGAACAACCAAGTAAACTAGGCATCCTGCAAGACTGGATTCTCCTGTTCATCATGATGTTTTAAAATAAGTGCTTTCTCAGTTTTTTGGGGAAAATAAACTATAAATCGACACATCTCCTTTATACCCCAATAGTAAATGTTAAATATGTTTCTCTTATGGACTTCCTGCCTGAGGCCCAACATTAAAAGAATTCTATTTTTTTATCCCCGAAGTAATCAGTCTGTGTGTGACTCCATGTGGGCACATTTGTGTAAACTCGTAAATGATTCAAGTGCCTAGTGGTAGATAAGTAGGTTGGAATTTTTTTTTTTTAAACATTTCTGTTCTTTTTCTAGGGTTGAACTTCACAGAATGAAAATAATCCGGCCAATGCCCGAAGTGGGTAAATACACAATGATCTTCCACACTAGAGACATAGGCAACGAGGTGAATGTAGAACGGTGAGTCCTAGATCTGTGTACCTGGTGGGCTGCTTATTTAGTGTTCTGTCAATAAAGATTATTCTGATTTCAATCAGGTGAGCCAGTTACTTTGTCCACAGCTTTTTATTAAGGTAATTTTCAAACGGACACAAAAGTAGAGGGAATGGTGTATTGAACCCCCAAGTACCGCCACCCTGCTTCAACAGTTAACCGATTCATGGCCTCTCGTCTTTCTCTTACTTTTTTCTCCTCCCTCACAGGACTGTTTAGAAGCAAATCACAGATACTACAGCGTTTCATGTGTAAATAACTCAAAATGTATCCTTAAAATACTAGAAGTCTTTAAAAAAAGAACTGCTATACCATTATCATACCTAAAATAAAATGGACAATACTTCTTTACTATCATGACATATCAGGGCACAGTGTTCATAGCTCCCTGGTTATTACATAAAAGCTTTTTTCCCCCCCTGAGTAGTTGGTTTATTCAGATCAGGATCTAGACAGGTCTACACAATGCATTTGGATGATCTGTTTGAAATCTCTTTTTATGCGTAGGTTCCTTCTCCCATACTTTTTTTTCCCCTTTGCAGTTTGTTGAATTTTGTCATGTTTGATAGAATTTCTTGTGTTGTGGATCTTGTTTGATAGAATTTCTTGCATTGTGGATCTTGCCAACTTCATCCAGTGATGTAACTTCATATGTGCCTCTGTATGACCTCTGCATTTCAGTGCCTTGAACACTGGTGGTGTCCCTCACCCAATGTAGGTCCATTGTAAGCTGGGAGATAGATCTGGAGGCTTAAACAGATTCCAGTGCTATTAGGTGCAAGAACACTTCATCAGTGGTGCCACATGCTGCCTCTCTTGTCATAGTGGGGAGGACCTAATGTTCAGACATGTCTTTGTGATACTGGGATTGATCTGTGGGATCAGGTATTGTCAGCTCCATGCCTCACTGTGAAGGTCCCCACCAGTCCTTCTTCTAACAAGTGTAGCAAACATTGGTGATCATTGCCTAAATTTATATTTGATTAGGAATTGCAAAATTCTGATAGTCTATCATTCCTTCAACATTTATTACAAAGATTTTTCTGCAAAGCAGGACTTGCCTTCTTCATCCATTTGAGTACCAAGGGTATGGTTCTCATAGAAGGGGCAGAATAAAGGGAAACAGTCAGCATTGGTTTATGAGTGGATGTTCCCTAGCATCCTTCAGGATATTCTTTCCTATGCTCAGCTTGTCTTATCTTTGGTAAATGGGATCTTCAAGATGACTCCTGAATCCTTGGACATGACTGCATAAGTTTTGAGAGCTTCCTTTCCTGGGCTCTGATGTGATGAGCTGTTCTAAGCTCATCTTGTACTTGTCCTGCCCCAGAAATTAGCCCTTTCACCAAGAAACCCTGGCAGATATGCCATTTTTCTTATGGGGTTGTGACTGAAGAATCTACATTTCTTTATTTTTTAAAATAAATTTTAAAATAATATTAAAGGATGCAGAGCCCAATATTATAGGGCTTTGTTGGAGAATTTTAAAGCAATATTAAATGACTTTTAGCCCTTTTGTTAGAATCTCTTTCTATAAACAGCCAGTTCTCTTTCCAATGTGTCTTTCTAGTCATTGTCCACATTGGTGCATTTTTCTCTTAAACTAAAAACATTAGTTATTGAATAGATGCAAAAGAGTACTTATAAACTGTATGAAAAGTCTGAAGATTCTGATGCCGTGAACATTGGTGGTGTCCCTTACCCAATGTAGGTCCATTGTCTGAGTAGCCTTCCCAGTCCCATATCCTCCCTGACCCCAGAGGTAATCCTTTCCCCATTTTCAATTTTTGTGATAATCATTTGTGAAAATGATAATTTTTTCTGCTATTTCTTGGTTTTCTTGTTTTCCCATATGTTTCTATCCCTATACAAGAGATTTATAGTTATGCACGTTTTTCAACTTAACGTAAGTGAAATCATACTGTGTTATTTTTCTCCAACTTTATTAGCTCAGCATTATGCTTCTCATCTCCACCCATGTTGTTACCATAACTGAAATGTACTGCTTTCCCTGCAGAGTTCCCAGAGACTAATTTAGTTCCCCACTTCTTCCGCTCCCCACATGTTGGGCTCCAGCCACACACTTACTTACCCACTCTTTACATGTCTGTGCCTCTTGCACAGGGAGGCCTCTCTGCCCAGGCGTCCTTTCCCTCGCCTTTGTCACTTACTGCCTTGTATCCTCTTTGAAGCCTCAGTCAAGCTTGCTTTTTCTACAACCCCTTCCCAGACTTTCTTATATGTTAGGTGCCGCTTTATTCACCCTTCTCTAGATCAATTCTGACTTAGTTTGAGACTCTTAGGAAAGGTAGGTACCTTCCCTCTCTGCTTATAGATAACACTGGAGTATTTATAAATCCCTGACACTTATCCAGGGACTTGTGAGCAGTGGATGAGATGGAGCCCATTATGTCAGTGTTCCTTTTACATCCTTCTGATTGGCAGACTGGGGGTTCACTCTGTGCAGTGACTCTTTTCGTCATTGGTCCTCGGGGGCTGACACATGAACACGTGGCTATCATTAGTGTCAGTTACCTTAGATGGGAAAATAAACCTTTTTTGCAGTCGGAAACCCAATATGTGCAATAATTTATAAAGATGCTTTTGCCAAATTTGGGGGCAAGGCAAAAGCAGTTGAAATGTTTGTGGAATTCTTGCCTTACCATTCATGTTTGTTCTTTTTATCTTTAGGGTGAAGCTCTTACATCAGGTATCACGAGTCTGGAGAACAGATGGGTTGAGTAGTTGTGCTTATAAATTACTTTCTGTGGATTACAACCCTTTGTATATCAACATCACAGTGGATTTCTGGTCTGGACCATGACCCTGGATCTTCTGGTGATCAGAAAAACTGACTATGTGATTGCAATAATTTTGGCCTAGAGACTTCTCTGGTAGCACACGTTAAGGACTTGTTGAAACTACTTATTGAGGTGAAGTTTGCTTTTTATATTTTCTTAGCTGAGCTCCTGGTGATGTGGAATGTACAACTGTAGCAAGACAGCTTTGTTAGTTGTTTTGATCCTGAGGGTTAACTATTGATTATGTAGACATTTGAAGGACCAAGTGGAAAACGACTGTTAAAGAGTATTGGGAAGGCTCCTTGACAATTCAGACTGAAGGAGGTTCATTTAAGTTTGAAGTGATACAATATGGGATACACAAGGCCATGGGAAATAAGGTTATTGAATGTCTCAGAGAACCACAGTTGTTCTTGGCCAAGGTAGAAAGGTACGAAGATGTATTTCTGTTACTCATTTGTCCTGCGCGGTCCTCTGTGAAGAGGCGGGTCCCAGGTGAGGAGAATGCCACAGAAGTGGGGAGGAGGGTGAAGGACTAGGAGGCAGTGAGCCGGGGATGGGGGTGCAGGAGGACAGCGTCTGATGGACAGGCAGCTGCTTTATGCGATCACTGCTGCTGGTCTGCGGGGGGACACCTGCCCAGTGTGCCTTCCAGTAATAGTCCAGCGGAGAACACACTATCTACTAGTTTTGTAAGCATTTTTGTAAAATGATTTTGTACATGTAAAATACGAACTAGCTATTTAAAAATTACATTTTAGCCAAATACATCAAAGGTACTTAAGTAGTAAATATGAAAAAAGCTTTGGGTGTTCAATGTTGTTTTTTACTGTCGTTTGAGGCTTACAGATGTATTCATTTCGGTAGCCATAATCCTAAACTGCTTAAAACCAAAACAAATGATGAGACCAAGCCCTCTCATTGCCTCCCTTCATCCTCCTGTCCCTCTCCCCTGTTCTTCCTGTGTGCAGCCTCCTGGTTTCACCAGCCCCAGGGCTGTGGCAGGCGGCTGTGCATCTTGTTTCCTGGGCCATGTTCTCTCATGCCTGCTCCTGTCCGTGATCATAATGGGTGCAGCAGCGCTGGCCTGAAGGCACACCTGGCTATAGGATAGGAAGGATTGGCGCCCAGGGCCCAGGCCTTGGGAAGCCTCTGATTCGGGTGGAAGGTGGGCCCGTGGACTGACTTGGGCAGTGGCGGTGACTGGGGGCCAAGCCACCAGCATTGCTGAGCTTCCTGGGTAGGCTGGCAGGCACCTGGGGAGGTAATCTAAGGAAGGCAGTAGGAGATGGCTACTGGGTCGGAGAAGAAATAAAGAATATTTCGTCCACATATGTAACTGGACATATAAATAATGAAGGTGTGGATGTCCTTAAGCAAGTATTAGGCAGCTGTGTCCCAGGGTCTCAATCCGTCATTATTATATGATGTGTTAATGGTTAAAGTTTGACATGAATGACGCCAGCTAATAAGTATAAATAATATTACCAAAGGGAGAGGGAGGGAGTAAGAGCATTTAGGGCTCCCAAGAAAAACAACAGTCACCACCCAAGTGGAGAAGGAGAATTTGAAAGGCAAATACATCTTATGACAAGTGTACCTAGGCTGTCTTTGTTTGCCTTTGACTCAGTAGGGACAAGGAAACGTTGTGTTTTATCTTTATTTAGCAAAGAGATAATAGTGGTTTTGATACCCCTCGCTGGTGGCCTAGCTTTTGTCTGTCTTTTTCTGCAGAGTATTTTTCTAGCATTCTGTCCCAATTTTCTGAACTTTAATCATATACAGACTGAGCTTTTGTGATTGTGAGCAGCCTGTGCCAAGGCCCCTGGCTTGGAGGCTGTGGGCCCCTGGTCACGACTGGGGAAGGTGAGGGAAGAGGAGAATGTGTGAAGGAATTCCAAATCCATTTTTGAGAACTCAGCTTCTTATCCAATGGAAACAAAATACAGCTACTGCCATGTGGAAACTTCCTGTGTGTTTAAAGCTATTAACAAGGCACCTGCATGATTTTACGTCTTAGAAACCGCTGTACTATGTCTATTACTATTCTTCAGGTAATTCCACCAAGATAGTGGACAGGTCATTTAAATGATTCATTACTAAACTTCTTGAGGTGGAAAGAGTTTTTTAAGAATTCCTCCACTGCACCACTTGCCCTGCTCTGAGACCAGAAGCCCAGTGACTGGCTGGACACATGTGGCCACCTGCTTGCCCATTGCTGCCACCCTGCTGCTGTCCCTCATGGCTGAACTGGGGTGTTTGGCCTCAAAGGAACTGAGCTACCCCAATTCCCGCCCTGTGTTTTCATTGGCAGTTGCTCCAAAGAGGTCAAGTTCTTGAGCATGGTGGGTATGCCTCCTGCAGTTGCTTAGGTTCATAGGGGTGCAGCCGATATGGATGTCACAAGTATTGAACATGAAGAACGTGCTACTTTAAACATTTTAGCTGATTTTTTTCCTCACACTACCACCCGTTTTTATAGCACTTTAAAGTTTGCATTGTTTTTACTCACACTTTATTGATCTTGTTGACTGTTGAGGTAAGTGGCATAGATGAGGAAGTGGGTGTTCTGAATAGGTGGGGGACTTGCCAGAAATCCCACAGCTAGTAATGGCAGAATCAGGGCGCAAGTTCAAATCTTCTGATTTCAAGACCCGTATCTCCTCCTTCTGGGCTTCTCTCCTTCTTTGAGGTAGTTTCCCTGACTCTTCTGCTCTGTCCTCAGCCCTAGAGAAGTTTGGTGTCTTCTGGATCCTAAGAAGTACATTCCATTCTCATTTGGTCTCTTTGAGCTTTTTTCCAAACTCCCTTCTGGTGTTGCTGCCCTAGCCCCTGCATTTCCACTCACGTCCTTATCAGAAAGGCCTCCTGGGGGCCCCAGATGCTCTGTGAATGGACTCTAGGGAGAGATGGAAGACATTTTCTGCCAGACTTGTTAACTTCCATTTTCCCCAAGTGCTACACGTGTGTACAGTCCCTGCCAAAAGTCCTTAACGTGATCCACAGGGTGGAGCATATTCAGGTACATTCATAAGTTCTTTTTTGCCAATCACATTCCAGAATTTCTTTGTCTATTTGTTAGAACAGCTATTGCCCCCTCCCTTAATTGTAAGGACACTGATGACCATTTTATACCTGCTGAAAGGGCCTGATGTGTCTCAAAGGTACTTAAAGGAGCTGCTGAGAGGTGTCCTCTGCCCCCTGAGACATGCCTCCACAGGCAAACACTGCATTGTTTCATTGACAACAGTGAAGTTGAAAACTCAAAATTGAACTTTGTGTACGTATGTGGGGTGTGTGTGTGTAATTTTGGGCCTTGGAGAACAGGTTGGTGAAGAGTAAGGCATAACAGTAACAGCCTGCATATTAGTCACTTTCCAGATTTTTAAAATTTGAACTTTTCAATAGTCTCATAGGTATGTGTGTACCACAAAGAAAAAACATTCAAGTAACTTCCCGAAGTTGGTAAGAGGAAAAGATAAGATTTGAACCCAAGTCTCTCTTTGCCTCCAATGTCTTACTTTTCCCCCCAGAATATCACATTGTTAGGAGATGGCAAGATTTCTCTGTGAGGGCAGCCAGGGCAGAGATCTCACTTGTAGCTAGAATTCGGGAGATAATACAGAGAACTTGGGAAGATCCATTAAAATGCCTTACCTTGGTGACCCTAATACATTCTTCCACTACGGAGTAGGAGTTTTGTTGAGAAGCTTTTCCTTGTAGCTGTTGTTTTAGGGTCAGTAAATCCAGACCGGTATATTTGGCCACTGAGCTTACTGTAATTGACATGACATTGGTTGCCACATTCCCAGGGGTTATGGACCAGGCGGAGTTCTTCATACCAGACTGATGGTGTGACTTCCTGTTGATCTCTTAGAGGGTGTTACCATCCTCATCACACTTTATATATCTTACTGAATCCTCCCAGTCCTCTGTGAGGAGAGACCTGTTTTCCTGAAGCAGATTCCAAGAGGCTAAGTCCTACAGAGCTGGCATTTGGAGCCAGGTATTGATTCCAAAGCTCATGTTCTTAACCACTGCATGGTAACAGATGAACCAACAAATACACAAAGAGAGGAAATAAGGATGGGCAGAGGTATATGGGCAGAGGTTACAGTTGAAGGTTGTGTCCTCCCCTAGTATGGGGTGTCCTAGACATAGTGGGTACTGGGGTTCAGGGCCCTGTTTGATTTGGGGAGGAGCAGAGCCTGTCCATATCTACAGTGGAATTTGCATCTTCTATGAAGGCTGAGGCTGAGGCTCTAGGTAGGAAGCTAACTGGAGAGGGAGCTGGGGGGCAGTGGCTCACTGTTCTCTTTCACGTTACTTCTTGGTAGAGAAAGCAGGTGGTAAGATTTTAAGAGTAGCAGGGGGACCACCTCGCCTCACAGTAGCTCTTGCCTGTTCCCATTGCTATGTTGAATTCCACCAATGGGGGATTCATTTTAGTTATCAAGGAAAAATCCATAGAGAAGATTAAAAGAGTAGAAACTGGTCGCCACTCACCTCTTAGTATAGTCTGCAAAAAGGCTTTCCCTTAATCTAGCTGAAATCAAATTACAAGGAGAATGGTATTTTGTGGGTAGAATTTCGGAGCATGAAGCCATGGAAGGAAAGGCAGGAGTGGATTTGGGGCAGGATTTGCTTGGCCAGCAGAGGGTACATGAAAACCTAGTCAGCAGTGGAAGAAAAAGGCACCAAGAGAGTATGGAGAGGAAAATGGAAGAGGTGTTTCAAGATTTGCCCAGAGGAAGCTCTCCCTCTTTTCTCCTCTCAAAGGCAACAGAAGGAACCTTCTCGACCAAGTGCAGATGTCATTCATCTCAGCACCCCAATCCCTGTCCTGGGGAGACAAGATGAGGCAGGGGAGGGGCAAGGCTGGTTGTTCATCTGGACAAAAGCCCATGGCCCCTGTCTTTGGAATCAGGGGTCAGGCTGCTGCCCAAGCTTTACCACCAGGTGTGTGCCCCCCACCCTGATTTCCCTTGTCCCTCCTGCCCCCAGGGCCCAGCCTAACTCACAGGAACCTGATGGTGGGGAGCATGGATCCAGCTACTCCTGTGACAGCTTAAGTGACAGGTTCATTTTCTTCACAGGGACATAGTTCAGCAGTTGGAGTCAAGAGATGCTTCCACTGCTGGAGGAAAAGGATTCGAAGAGTAGTTGCCCCTTCACCACTGTTGGGCAAAGTGTAGCAGGAGCGAAAATTAAAAGTAAACTTAGCAGTTTCAACCCTTTGACTGTAGGGCAGGTTACCGGGTGTACACAGGAAGCCTCCCACACCTACTGCATTTCCATCTCCTAAACTTAATTCCCATGAGCCCAATAACCCTTGGGTTGGAACACCTACTTTGTCAGACTCATCTATGACCCATTAGGACACTGGTAAACACAAAAGAAAGTGAACGTATTTAAAGGCCCTCTTTATGAGACTAGACAAATGTTGAGTTATAAGAACTTCCTTTAAGACCACAAATGGAAACACAGTTTGGAAGAAAAATAGTTTGACCATAACAAAAATCACCATATGTCACTCATCTAATAGCTGGCTTCTCTGTTTGAAAGGTGTTTCAAGTTGAAACTGGTGAATATATAACAGGCCCATACATTGTCCCCAAAAGGCCACTTACTTTTAATTCATGGGAGAATTGAGCTTACTAAACAGTGTCACTGCACTGTTGGAGAGGAAATTTCAACCGTTGTTAACTCAAGGTTGGGCCCTGTTCTGGTGAATGAAAAGACCCCAAGGTAGCATTAAGAGAATCACTTGAGCTCCCTAGGTGGGAGCCACCAAAGAACAAAGACCAAAGATCAATTTCAACCTTTTCCTCGGTTCTCTCACTGCAGCAATACGGAGATACCTGAAGCCTTTGAAGGTTTCTTCTAGAAAGCAGTGAGAAATGCAGGCAGATTTGCCGTCCAAATACAGACTTGGCTTGTTGCTGTTACAACACAAGTCCCTGTGGATGTCTTCATGCCCCAGTATTAAAAATAAACATGGGGGGATGGGACTGGTATTATCTACTTTCCAAACTCTCCCTTTCCTACAGTTTGTAAGATTGTTGTGGAATCCTCGACCAGGGTGAAAACACCAGTGGAGAGAATTTCAGGAGGCTGAGCACCTAAAGGAACTCCATACTAACTTAGCGTGTGCGTGAGAAGGCATGTGTTTCCAAGGAGTGCAAGTGTGGACGATCAGGGGACAGCAGTTCCAGCACCAAATCCAGAGTTGCAGGGGGAAGGTCATATAATGGTGACACTTTATTCTTAATATTCAATTCTGCTCCAGTAGAACATGGCACCCAGGAGAACCCAAAACTAGAATACAAAGAAAAGAAAAAGGGAAGAGCAAGCATTGTATTAGAAACATCTCATACTTGGGGAGAAAATGTTAGGTTCATTCTGGTAAGTGACACTGCAGTTTGAAGAGTAATCTTGCCTTGAGCAACATCCTGGGGGCAGAGGTAACATTGACTCTATCTCGCCATTCGAGGCAACTTGTCCACTCCCCATGTTCCTACCCCCATCTGCACCTATAACCCCAGGCTGCCGGTTGCTCATCTCACTTTTGTGCTCAACTAGCCCCTTGAGAAACTTCCTTCTTCCCATCAGGGCCAGTTACCCTCAGTGGATTCCTTTCTCTAGTTTTCTTGCTTCCAGTGTTGAACTTCTCCTTCCCAGGGATTTCCTCTTTTCCTAAAAATGCTTGTGACCTGGGACAGCTGCCCTTGAAGAATGCCAGAGAACTCAAGATATTTGCCTCAGGTGAGGGGTTAGAGTCTTTGGGTTCTGTTGCAAATCTGCCACTCACACCCTGCATCTGTAAAGATAATTACCCAGAGTTGGAAGATTGAGTGAGATAATGAACTAATAATAATGTCTAATGTTTGTTGATAAGTTACTATGCATCAGACCCTGCTTTGAGTGCTATGATACTTCAATTTAATGCTTCCAAAACCTATGAAGAAACCGAGGCACAGAGAAGATAAATAACTTACCCAAGGACAGGCTACCTACCCAGCTATTGTTGTGGGGATTTACTGGTGAAAGTATTTGACTTGATGCCTTGTCCATAGCAGGCCCTCAACCATTTAGTTCTCTTCCCTTTCCTCTTGAATTTTAAGGGGACTTATGAGATCCAGAGTCCATTTGATGCTTGTGGAAATGTCAAGGGTTTTAATTGGTTTGAAGTTTTAAGATCTCAAAAGCCTTTAGACATTATTCCATAATTCCTGCTAGCATGGCATGAATTAAGATGGCACCTTTATCAGTTTTCATTCATTCAACAAGTTATCCAGCATCTATGTGTTCTGCTAGGCACTGGGGATTCAAAGGGCAGCTGGTTTGCAGGCTTTTGGCAGAGACAAATACATCATAGTGGAGTGACCACGACAGAGGTGTGTGCAGGCTGTCACAGGGGTTCCTAAGAGGGTGGACTGAGATCATAGAAGACCTCTTGAAGGAGCTATTTGTTCCTTCCTGCCTTACCCAGGTTCTCACCCCAAACCCAGCATTTGCTAAGGTGTGATACACAAACTCCCAAGGGGTCCACTATGTCAAGACTATTTGCATAATAATATTAACAGTTTATTTGCCCTTTTCACTGTTTTCGCATTTGCCCTGATGGTGCAAAAGCAGTGCAAGGTAAAACTGCTCACATCTCAGCAAGATTCAAGGCAGAGGCACTAAATGTAGTAATAGTCATTGTATTCTTCACAGCTAGGTACTTGCAGTAAAAAAAAAAAAAGGCAGTTTTACCTGAAATTGTTTTTGATGCAGTAAGAAGTATTCATTGTATTAAATGTTCCTGTTTGAGAACACAGTTTTTAATAGTCAGTATGGCAGAAAGGAAGTATGCATAAATCAGTTTTGTGGCATCCTGCAATGGGACGGTTGTCTTGAGGAAATGCGTGTGTGAGTTGTAGAGTGAAGTGGCCTTTTTTTTTTCATGAAATACCATTTTTACTTGAAATAAATGACTAACAGACAAGTTATGGTTATTTACATTGGGTGTTTGGCAGCATTTTCTTGAAAATTTACAAAGTCAGGCTGTCACTTCAAGGAAAACAACTGACAATGTTTGATGCCAGTGATAAATTTGAGCACTCAAGCAAAAATCAGGAAACTTGTTATCTGTCATGATGAGTTTGACAGTATCCCAGTGCCTACAGTCTTTTCCGATGTGGCAGTATCAATGAATGCGATTTTTTTGGCAGTGTGTAAGGAAATCAGCCAACATCTGGGAGATGTGCATAATATGGTGAGCCAATATTGTCCCAACTAATCAATGCATGATGTTAGAGAATCATAAATGGGTAAGAGATTTATACAAACTGCAGGACAAACTAGTGTGATGTATTTTAATGTAATAGAGTCCAAAGAGTTCATTGAAACAGCTTCAGCTTCCACTTCAACTAACCTTTAAGAAACCACTACCTGTCAAGTTTTGTGTAGTACTAGAGAGGAATTCTCAGTTATATTTAGATAAGGCTACCAAAATATTCCTGGTTTTTTAAAGTGCGTATCAGTGTGAGGATGGATTTTCTTCAACTCTTTCAAGCTCAGCAACATATTATAACAGTTAAATGAAGAAGCAAAAATGAGAACCCGGTGGCTTTTATTGAAGCCAGACATGGAAGAGACTTCAAAAATGTAAAACCAATGCCACTTGTCTATTTTTTTGTTGTTGTTTTGGAAACAAAACAAAAATAGTCACTTTTCCCACAAAAAATTATCATTAATGCTAATATGTAATTGGTTTATTGTTATTTTAAAAGAGGTAATAAACATTTTTAAGAATTCTGTGTTTGTTTCCGCTAGGGCCCTCCATAGACAAAATTTCTTTTTGGAGTCCTCAGTAACATTTGAGAGTGTAAAGGGGTTCTGAAACCAAAATTTTAGGACTGCTTCTTGAATGCAATGGTTCTTAATCATGACAGCAAATTAGACTCATTTGGAGATTTTAGAAAGAAAGGAAAGGCCTGGGTCATGCCTCTTGGTAAACTGAATCAGAATCTCAGAGCTTGGGTTGTAAGTATGCTTTTTTGTTCCAAGCTCCCCCATGAGGTTTTAATGCACAGCCAGGACTGAGAACCACTGTTCTACCCTCTTGCTGCATGCCCATCTGATAAGGTAGGCAAGGTGGACTGGCAGAGGCTGCTCTTCAGAAGGAATGAGGAAGTGTGGGGCCGGATTCATGTAGATGGATGACAGTCTTTGATCTCTAATTGTAACGAATTAACGAGATCCAGAGAGCTGGAGGAGCAGGCAAGCACATCCCAGCCAGAGAAAAATCTGGTTAATAGGGCACATCCTTGCCCTGGTAGGGGAGTGAATGCCCCACTGCCCAAGGAATCCCCTGTCCTTGCTCTAGTGCCAGCTGCTCCCTGACTAGCCTTCAGGTCTGAGGTTTTGGTTCCAGACTGTCTAGTGAGGTTGGGTTAACCAGGGGCAAACTCAAGATCTCTCCTTGATCATGATCTGCTCAGAAATAAGACATCTGCAGGGACATACTCACAGTCCAGCAGAGAATGGCAAATCCAAACCAGGCAACCCCCCAGGCGTGGCGGTTCATGGGTCCGGAGATCAGGTCATAGCAGCCCTGGAGGGGTGTGTGAAGCCACATCGGTGTAAGAGGGACCAGAAAAGAGATGTTAAGAGATGGGTGGCAAAGCATATTTCTATATGGATCAATGTCATTCCAAAGTCCGGCTTAACATAACCAGGCTGTTTGTGCATCCCCACTGACAGCCAGGTATTAACAGGTATTTCTGAAGGAATAGAAGTAATTCTCTATTACATTATTTTGTGTCTTTATCACTCAATCTAATGAAGGTGCTGCCATTTTAGCAAAAAAAAAAAAAAATTTTTTTTTGTATTGAATACATGGGCAATGTAAAGTCTTCTTAATGACGTTCTAATTTTTTTCTTCTCCCAAGAGATTTTATTAATGATTTGTTGGAGGGCAGAATTATTTTTTGATTTGTTTTTCAGCAAAAGTGCTTCCAGTCTGTGAAAATGAGAGGGTTTAATTTTTTTTTATCATTAAAGAACTCCCAATACCATACTTTCTATATTCTCATTGACATCACATTTCAACATAATCTTCACTGGACTCTAATGAGACCTTAAAAAGCCACAGTGTGTGCAAAGGAGTGAGTCATTTGTTATTCACTGAATCATTCACTCATGCATGCCAGCAAGTGTTTACATGTGGCACACCGTGTGCTCATCATTATGCAAAGTGCACAAGTGGTGCACATGCGCAGGGGTAGACCTGCTGTCTAAGTGACCTCTCCTACAGTCCTGGGAATCACAGGAACGCCTAGGAAATGCAGTGACCAGGCTGGCTCCATGATTCACGGAGGTCCAGAGGGAAATGTCCTTGAAAGGCTGGCCTTGAAGTTTAGGCCCCACACAGTGGCTACACATGGCACTTGAGTTTCTATCCTTTCTGACCCTGCTCCCATCCCTTGTTGATCCACTTTCATGCTCTGCTTTTGCTAAACCTTGATTTCTCCCCAATTTACTCTTCTCCATTATGTTATAGGCACCTTCATTCACCTAGATGCTCAAAGGAAACATTTAGGAATATCCTTAACTGTTTTTCTCTTATCCAACAGCAAATACTTAAGCAAAACCTCTGGGTATGCTTTGAAAGTACATCTCAAGTCCAAAAAACACTTATTACTTACTGCTCCCACCTTGATCCACCATGGCCTCATTCTGGGATTACTACACTAGCTCCCATAGTCTCCCTGAGGCTTGAGTCCACTGTTGGCACCCTACTAGTCTTCATACTATGTCATAGGGATCCTTGTAAAACATAGGTCACTTCACATACCTGCTCCAAAGAAATGGCCACCCACCCCCACTTAAAATGAAGTCCTAAGTCTCCTCATCGTCCTACCAGGCACTGTATGATAAGCTCTGCCTCCTCCTCTAACTCCAGCTTCCACCTCCAGAGGCCTTTTCACTGTAAAGCTAATGAGCTGAAGCTTGAGGACTGCTTACTTGTAAGACCATTTCAAGGCCCTGTACCTCATTTTGGATGCATATTATTAATTGTTCTTCTTGAAGACAACCCCTCCCTACAAATTCAGGCCCTAAAATATCTAGATCCAGCCTTGCCTTCTCATCTCCCCTCACTAATACTGGCCTTGCCCTACTGATGTCCTTGAAATTCCCCTAAAAAGCTAAGAATGCTTCCACTGCAGGGCCTCGCATTTTGCTGTTTCTTTGTTTGAAATGCTCTGCCTCAATCTTCTTGAAGTCAGGGTCCCATTTCCTCACCCACTTCAGAATGCTGTGCAACATCATCTCAATAAAGTCTTTCCTGACGACCACAGAGAAAAATACGCTTCCCCCAGTCATTGTTTACATCCTCACCCTGCTTTATTTCTGCTTATGATACATTTATCACTACCTGGAATTTATTGCCTATTTGTTTGGTAACTTGTTTGCTGTCTGTCTCCCATACTGCAACGTGAGCTCTGTGGAGGCAGGGGTTTTATCGTGCTCAGTGTTGAGCTCTAGACCCTAAAACAAGTGTCTATACAAAGCAGGCACCCAATCAACACCAATAGGGTGGATGGAATGTGGTAAGAAGTAACTATTACAATGGTACAGTTTGTGACACACAATGGTTCACAAACGTTTGTTCCTATATCCATCATTCACTTGATCGTCCTGACAATCCTGCAGGGTGGGCATTCATCTAGTAATATGTATAAGACCCCACTTATGTCAGGTGCCAGGCACTGTGCTGGGCATTCAGCTCTGACAAAACAAACGGGTCTTGCCATCATGGAGCTCACAGACAAAAGGCCCTTATTTTTTTTCACTTCTCACTTAATGCCTTTTCATGATGCCTTTTTTATCATAGTGGTGCTTAACATGACCTTCCTTATGATGTTCTTAAGGTGCAGTGATCAGAATTTGCATATAGCATTTCTGGAGCAGATGGGCTGTGATGTAAGAGTACATATTTGCATCTGTCATGGCATATGAAATCCTGCTTTATTCCTATTATCACCACCCTTATGACTTCTCTGTTTTGTTAGCCTCATCTGTGCAGTGTAGATCTTGAAAAGCTACAATATGGATGTGAAGAGTCACTCACTGACCCACCTCCCATTTTATCAGTGCCTGCTTTGTGCCAGGCATTATGCTAAGTCTGAAGATACAGAATTGAGTAATGGCCCTCAAGGAGAGAGACAGAAAGAAGCAGAGATGTGAACAAAGAGAGTTCAAGGCATCACCTGCCATAGAGAAGTATGTGAAGTGCTGGGTGACCTATTTTGCTTTGTGGAGAATTGAAATAGAATTAGTAGGATCTATAACTGAGAAAGAACGGTGGTGGATGGCAGTCTTGGGACCTGGCTCAGGAGGATTGGAAAGGACTGATAGATAGGAGATCATTTTGAGGGTGAAGAATGAGTGAGATTGAGAAAGTGGGAGCACAGGAAGCCAGGGACAGAGAGAGGGATTTCTGGATGCAGGAACTGGGTGGCAAGTAGGGTTGAATCATGATGAGTTCGTAGTCGCAGTGTAGCTGATGGGTAGTGGAGGTGGAAACGTTAAGGTCAGGGGAGGCCAAGGAACTGTAAGGGAGGATGTTAGAAGGGTTGTCAAAATTCGGAGGTCCATCGTTACTAGAATGTTCCATGTGCTAGGGAAACTGATTATCTGAAGGCGAACATTCTTTTTTATGTCCCTTTCAATTACATGTTACAATTTGTACACAATGACATTCAAATCGAGATATGTTTACATGGGCCAGTGCCAAGGTTGAAATGTGAAAGCATTTTATTACTCCTGTGAGTGATAATTACATTGCATATTATGATTATCAGCAGTACATTGAATTTTTATAGGTCTGAATTTAACTGATTAAAACAATGCTGCTAAAAAGCTAAATGAGGGTTGCTTTGAACGACTCTACAGAATTATCTGTATCACCTCCATGTCCTTTTCTGGATCAACACAGCCCATCCCAGTCCAGGCCCCTTCTGGGGTGGCATGAGGACCAGCGGTGTGGTGTCCTTCATGCTGAAGTTCAGTTTGTATTTACTCCAGGACCAAGGAGCCTGACATGGGTCAACAATTTAATGAACTCGCACACAGCAAGCTTTCCTCAAAGCAGTTGACAGCATTTCAGAGGGTGACTATAATATATGAGGATTTTCTTCAGGGCTTTTGGGAACATTACCAAGTTCTATCTGGCTTAGAGTCAGGGCTCTGGAACCAGACTGTTCTGATTTGAATCCTGACTCAACCATTTACTAGCTGTGTGACCTCAGGCAAAGTACTTATTAGCATCTCTGTATCTCAGTTCCTCTTCTGTAAAATAGGGATCATCTTGGGACCTACCTTTGAGTGTTAAATGAGTTATTATATGTATGGCTCTTGGAAAGGTGTCTGGCATTTAGTAAGTACTCAATAAATGCTAGTGTTCATGACCATCATATCATTCTCATCAGGCTGGAAACACTTTCAAAAACCATCTCTATGTAAACTACCTTCTACCAAATCACCAATCTTATATTTTATTAAGACAGTCCTACATTACCACTGAATAAGGAATGTGTATGTATAATTACTGCATTTACCCTCAGCAACTGCCATTGATTTAAAGTAGCAAAACATTCCTTTTGTATATCACGCCTTCCAACTTAACATTTTGCAAAAGTAGTACAAATGTTTAATGTCAATAGTTTTTTGAAATACCAATTCTATATTTCATACAAATAGTTTTCATTGAAACAGAATTTCAATTTGCAATTCTCATGTTCTGTTAATTTTATTGAAACATGTATTTTCCCAGATCAGCCTTAGATTAGCATCCACATTTTGCTTACAGAGAAAGAAATCATTAACATGAGATTTAGGAAAAGGAATGTGGAACCCCTTAGTGAGAGACTATTACCTGCAGTTACCCAGCAGAAAGAACCTTCCGGCAGGTCTTGGGAGGAGAGGACTCACCTGATGGTGATAGTAACCCGGAACTCCTAGTTTGCAGGCCTCCAGGTTGAGAGGCTCCTGAAGAGTGGTCATGACACAGCACTGGCGAGGCCAGGGGTAGTCGGCATCATTGTTCTCAGTCCGGAAGGCAGACGTGTATTTCTGCCAGTCAGAGGGACCATTTACACCACAGCAGTTGTCCTGTCAGCAAATGAGAGAGACAAAATGCTCTCCCATGGACCTTGCTAGAATCATCAACGTAGCGCTGAGATTTTACAGGGAAAGAAGTAAAGAAAAGTGCCACATCTTCTGTTCACTAAGATCCCAAATGAGAGCGGACAGTATTGATAACCTACATTTTAGAGTTTGTGAATTACATTAACATGTATTAACTTTATTAGCCACTGAGCTCAGATGCCTTTGACAAGTGAAACTCTCTGAGACTCATTTTCCTTAACTGCCAACATGGCCTTATGTTTCCTTAATATAGCCCCTGGTCCTCATGGAGTTTTTGTGAGGATTGAATTAGTTAATATGCTGAACATGTTTAGTACAGTGCTTGACCCATAGCAAACCCTTAATAAATGTTAATTATTATTAATATGAATATCTTGATGCAACAATGTGTGGGAGATACACTTATTCTCATAGTACATATGTGCAAATTGAGAATCACACAATTAGAATTTTTAGTGCTGAAGAAATTATGAGTAATTCCTCATGTTTCACATTTCTATATTTTTAACATTTTCTGAAGAAAGTGTGTATTACTTTTATAATGGGAGAAAAGAAATTGGACAAAGATACCCAGCACCTGGTGGCACATAGCTATGCCTCCACATAGGAAAAGAAGATCAATTACCACATATAATATCTTTACACCCTGGAGAGAAGTGAGGAAATAAGATAAAACACAATTCATATCACTTCCTTTTTTTAAAAAAAGAAATTAAAACTACAGGCACCCCTCAACTTTCAGAATAAGTATATCCACGCAAAGGTGATGACAGATCAACTGTCTTTAAAGCAGATCTTATTTCGTCACTGGACTATGGAAAACAATTCACCGAAGAAAATAATCATCCCGTATTTGGACCTGAGCCTTCACGGGGGAAATGGTTAAGTTTGGACCAGGCTTATGTCAGACCAGGGTTTTTAAAAGTTGGTAAGTGGATTTTTCAGTGGGTGAGCATTCATGTTTTCATTTGAAGAGCTTAGTTCTTGCTAACGGAGTACAAAAAATATTTGACCTATAGTCAGAAGAGCAATAGAAAGAAAAAGTAGCCAATAAATTGGAGGTCCTAATGGGGTAAAACATTCATTGGAATGGGATATTGGAATTAATGAAAAATTATAGAAGATAGAGGATAAAGAGAGAGTTCAAAGAAGGGGTGGAGGCTCTAAGGGAGTTTGCTGATGACAGACTGTGAGAGGGTGGGTGGGGGGTGGGGAGGGGAAGTAGGGGGCAGTGTGAGAATTGGGCCAAATCAGGACTTATGTGGGAAACGAGAATTCATACGCATACGACAATGTAGGTATGATAGTATGTATTTTGAAAGTCTTGGACCTTTGATGGTAGTAGAGGTAAATTTGGATATAAGGTATGACGGCCACTTAGAGAAAACTGGGTGATCAAACAAGCCAAAGCCCAGGGTGCTTAGTGGAACCAGCTTGTAAGAGGTGTGGAAAGGCACTACATCAGCAAAAAAGCCAATAGCTGCTGCGTGAGCTCACTGTGGGACAGAGGAGGCAACACGTTTCTCTCATGTAAGTGATGCCTGAGTTCTAAGAGGCAGAATTGTGTGACTGACAACTAAACGTCTTATATTTCATTATCCCTATAAATGGAAGCAAATCAGCATCATGGCTTGAAATAAAATATAAGTCTAGGGGTTCCCTGAGTCATATGTACACAAGAGGAATAGGTAAGAGGAATAGATGAACTTGCCCACATCAAGTCTCTCTCTGAAGGAATCTCCCATGGTGACACGCCTGGCTCCTGGCTTAGGTACAGAAGGGTATGTCTCCAAGACCAAAGGCATTACCTGGAGCATGAGCCTGTCCCAGGTCCTGGTGACTCCACTGTTTTTCCACTGGTCGTCGTTGCTTTGGGGGCTGTTGTTTTGGTACCTCTCCAGCATCTGCTTCAGGAAGAGGTTGGGCGTGAACTACAGCAGGAGGGGGCAACACAAGAGGGAGGGTTAGCAGGCAATGTGGTTTGCTTGGCCTGTTGCTGGGGGCACTGGGCATTGTCTCCTGGAGTGAAATAACTCAGAGGCACCAAGAAAGGGTAGGGATGGATGTGGTGCTGCTCTGAGTGCCTGAAGTGCTGGGTAGGGAGAAGACCCCCCCTCCTCAAAGAAATCCCAGCGAGACCAGGGTGGACAGGCATTGTGGGGTAGTTTAGGCTCGTGAATGGAAAAAAAGGGGGAAAGGATGCTGAACTGAGAGGAAGTCTTGGATGTGGAGGGTTATTGGTCATCGTATCAGAGGGCCAGTAGGGGGCGCAGAGTGGTGTTGTGCATGGCAGGATAAGCTTGGGCCCCGCGAGACATACTGCCTAGACTTGGGACTCATCTCTCACCAGCTGTGAACCTTGGATAAGGCACTTTACCTTTTTAAGTCTCCTTCATGCAATGACAACTGTAATAATACCTATGTCATAGGGTTCTTAAGAGGATTAAGTAAAATTATACATTTACTATTAACATACATATTAGAGTGCCTGGTACAGTGTCAGCTATGCTATTATTCTCGTGGTAATGGGGATTCATATGATCATTTTGCTCTGTGCTTTGCGACTGTACTCACAAAGTCTCGCTGTGTCGCTGCTGTAATACAAGATGCCACTTCAAATCCATATACTATGAACATCAGAATGAAATACTGGAAGGGAAACAAATGAAAAGAAATAATTACATTTACCAGCAAAGAGAAATTTTTTTAAATGATTAATTGTTAATTTTTTTTCAGCACATTCAGCTAAACATAACCATCCAATCATTCATGAAGTTATTCAACAAACTCTCATTGATCAGCTGCTTAGAGCAAGATTTGGTGCTAGGCGCTGATCAGCTCAATTCTCTCCTTTTCCCCAGAAAATGAATGGCTATTGAGCACAGAGCTTTTTAAGGCTAGTGTCTCCTGCATTTCTATTTTAACTAGGGAAAACGGCTATAAGAATGAAATGGCACACCTGTGTGTTGTGTGTTTCATCAGTGGCTCGCAAGAGAATCTTAGTGTATCAGACACCTGCAGGGCCTCATAAACCTCTCTCCCTGGGAGAAATTTTCTATATGGTTTACTGAAAATTTAGAATTACAGAGGTCAGAAAGGATGAACTGGATCATGTTTAGATATGCACTATCCCTCCTGACAAGCATCCAGTCAAATCAGAGGACACAGCTCTTCACGGGCATTCTTCTCTCCCCTGACCCCGGCAGCTACACCAGGTCAAGGGAGCAAAGCAGCTCACCTGTGTGTGTTGTATGTGCATGTGCACATGATGCCTGCTCATCACACTGCCCCTCTTTATGGCTGGAAAATGTCTGAGCAGCAAATGGCCTCTGAGGCTGGGATGGAGACTATTTCGAGGGTCTGACTTAGCTTTCCTCAGCCTTGCACGTGTGCTTTTGGTCCTTGGGTTCTTCTTGGGAGGGGTCAGTGTTGGCTCTCCCTCCCAGGGCAGGGGGGCTCTCAGAGCAGGGCCCTCTTCTGCCCTGATCACTCAGCTGGGGAAAAGGGCTTTGGCTGGGGAGTTAACGCCAGGAGCTCCTCCAGAGGCCTCCTAACATTCCTACCACCTCCCTGCCAACCCATCCCTCCACCCCCACAGTTTAGCTGTGGCCTGGTTGTCAAGAGCTTTGCTGGACCCCTGTGGATACAGTGAAGGTTCCTGTGGGCAGGATTCTCACCTGGCCCTGGTCAGCTAGCTCACTACACACGTGTGGGAAATATGTTGCTATTGACTATATAAAGAGCTCCACCCAGTACTCTGCATGACACAGGGGCACAGCTGCAGGAGAGCAGAGACTGGAGTGGTGGCAGCGCCCAGGACAGAGACTGAGACAGCTGTGTGGGCAGAGAGGCCCAGAGGTAGAGACCAGCTTGCTGCATGCAGACTTGCTCTGAGTGGATGGGATTTTAGTGATTGACCTGCCACTGTGGGAATAAAGTTGGGTATAAACCCTTTCACCCCAAGAACATTCCATTGTCATTTTTCGGTTTCATTGAATCCATAGTGAACTTGCCCGGGCTGAAACCCATTGGCAAGACACACCCTTAGGGAGTCTTGGAAATCCCTTAGAAGCACTGCAGAAAGGAGGCACAGGGCAGGTGCCCCTTGGAGGGCATGCTGCTCCTTTTCTTTGCAGGGCACGGTGGAGAATGTTCCCTCCCAGGTGGGTTCCCAAGCAGATGTGGCCCAAGCAGAAGTGAGCTGGGTGCAGGTGAGGCTTGTCTCTAGGGACACCAGCCTCTCCTCTCCCTACCCCCATGTTCTTTCCCTCACCTTGCAAAAGTGGGTGCTTTTGCCCTAGAACTAACTCGCACCAGAGAGCCAGAGAATGTAAATGTTCTGCATTCCCTGAGTATCAGGACAATGTTAGTCCACAAGAAGAGTAAACCATCAAGCACGCTAAGTTGCTGGACTCGTTCCATAAGGGTGGAACTCCAGTCCTACAGCATTTGGGTTGCAGAGTTATTTCAGGGTGGGGAGTGGGGGTGGGACCCCATCACAGCATGGGAAACTGCTGGCCAGAACGTGGGGACAGAGAGTCGTCTAGGCCCAACAAGGAGGGTTCTTAGTTCTGCTGGCTGAGCTGTGCTTCCCTCTGCTGAGGGAGGGCACAACCTTGCTGTCTGTGGCTTGGGGCAGAAGCCCATCTGTGGGTCACGGAGGTAGAGCCTCCCAGGCAGGTGGGGGCTGAAGCTGCTCTCTACAGTGGAGGGCGTCAAGGTTTTGTAGAGTCTCTGAAAAGTAGAATGAATGCATAATATGGGAAGTGCCAGTCATCAGACAAAACCATCAGCCTGGAAGTCAAAAAGTCTGAAAAAGCTCAGGTTTTCTCCTGAAAATTCATGCATGGCTTGTATTTTATGTCCTAATACATTGATGCCTGATTAATATTAAAATGATATATTAAACTATTTATCATCAAGAAAAAGAAATCTGATTATCAAGTTCTCACTCTGACTCTCCGTTGGCCTATGTAGCTCCTGGCTCTATGTGTTGGGCACCTGCAGTCACCAGCTGGAGAAGAACAGATCTGGAAAATACTCAGCAGGGTCTCCCCCAGGTGTCTCCCCTTTGGGTTCTCTGTATTGGAATCTTCTGGACTTGCAAAGTGGAGGGCAACCTCGCCCCCCACACAGAGAAGCTTCACTGCAGGGAGAGTCACCCTCACCTGGCACTCACGGCTCCCACCTACTCTACTAAAAGCCAAGGCACTGTGCTCAGGGGAGAAGAAACAAATCGATGCATCAAAATCGGCCCAGGAGACAACTACAGTGAGCTTCAAAGTCTCACCGCCAGAAGGATTTTCCTGTTGGACTTCATGATGCCTACAATGCCCAAGACGGACAGGCAGAAGAGGCAGATGCCCACAAACATGCCGATCCAGGCAGCACCATAGATGTCATCATTGTCAGTGGCTTCCAGCAGTGGGTAGAGGCTGTGCTGGTCAGACGCGAAGAAGATGCACTCGGCCGTCAGGGCGATGCCGCACATCTGGGGGCAGAGGAGGCTCTGTCAGGCCGGCGGCCGGGACAGCAGGGTTGGGAAAGGGATGGAGAAGGTGTGTGTGGGGGTGGTGAGAGAGACTAACTCGGTCCCCCACACAGGCTCGAAGCAACTGACTTAGCGTGCTCATTGCTGGGAGACTAAACTTCTTCACTCCACTGAACTGGTTGCATTCCTCCTCCCACATGTCAATTCGTTCTATTGCTATTTTGGAAAAGACGCAGACAATTTCAGACCATCTGTTAAGTTCTTGGGCATGAATGACTCAAAGTCTTCTTGTATGAAGATAAATCTCCCACCCCCACTCCCACTGCCCCTTGCCCAAATTTGGGTTATAAAATTTAAATTGGTCCTAGTCATGTTTATCAGTGCCGGAGAACCACTGAATGTTAGAGCTGGTTATCTTTCCCACCCCCTGTATTGTACAAATGAGGGATCTTGACTCCAAAGGGTGATGATGACCTGTCCAGAGTTGCATGGAGCCAGGGGCAGGGCTGGGCCAAGAGCCAGTGATTTTGACCCCTAAGTGCTCTCTCACTACACCATGCCCACACTCTCACATCCGGGTACTGGCCTCTGTATGATGAGAACAAGCAGATACAAACATCTGCTCCCAACAGCCTTCACAACAGAATCCCATGGAAATCAACCCAGGTGAAAGAGGAGAGAAACAGCGTGTGTGGTGGGAGTGTCTGGACACTGACCATGGTTGATGCGGCTCATTTTAGATTCCTGTGTCTTAAAGTTGGGAGGGAAATACCTATTTTTTTAAACCCCTGTCTTTTGACATGTTACATAGTTGCATGTGATTCTTTATATAATTAAATTCTAACTAGCATACTTCACTAACACATTTCTTAAAAAGGAGCAAAGTGGCAGGGAGTCAACAATTACATCATTATTTTCCTTTAAACTCTCACTTTTGATTAATCTAAAATGATGATTACCAGAAGAACAGAATTTTCTCAAAAAATACTCATTACTTACACCAGTAATCACAATTCCAAAGATCAGCAGGCCCTGGAAGCAACGAACAGTGGAGTCATCTTTGGCCATGTTCAGGGTTTCCCACAAGCTGAAGGCACAGTGGAGAACATCACAGTATTACGGTTGTTTCGTAGGAGCAGGTGACAAATAAGGCTACAGCTGCATGGCTAACCCGCACCGTTGTGTTCTGGTGTCTGGTGTTTCAGAGCATCCAAACCAAAGCTACGCAACATTTAGCGCTGGAGGAAATGCCCTGACTAAGCTCAGTGTTCCCTGAGATGTATGAGAGCAGTCATTTCATAAAGAAGAAAACAAGAAAAGCTTGCCAGAGTCTGATCAGTAACTTTCAGGAGTTCTTCAAGGAAAGGATTATATAGACTGTATGCTTCTTCTGAGTGATGAGCCGAGGTCCCGCAAGCCCAAAGGGGCGGCCCTGAGGTCTGATGGCTGGGCAGGGGCCAGTGCTCTGGGGCTCCCTGTCAGGGCTCTTCCTGCCCTTGCTCATGCAAACCGACACCCAAGGGGCAAAACGTGGCCTGAGTGGGCATTTGGTTCCCATATGGACTATGGGCAGCTGTTAAAAACCATTACTTTCAGAATACTTTGTTACCTTCAAAAATAACAGGCAAATAAAAAAGTACCCTGCCACCTGAGAGGGGGCATGGGAGGAAAGAGGGACAACATTTAGGTCCTTCCACGTGCTACTCTCCTAAGTGCTTTACACACACACATCTAATTCTCCTAGCTCAATTAGGTAGAGAGAGAAAAACGGTGAGGAGGCTTATTTTGCAGATGAGGAACTAAACCTTTAATTTAGGTAAATTAAGTTCCCTGGGGTCATAAAACCAGCCAGTGAAGAGCTCAGCTGGAGATGTCGGTCAGTGTAGCTCGTGCCCCAGCCCACGCTGGCTCCCAGAAGTTATTGATAAGGTTTAGCGCTTTGTATGACACTCAAAGTATGTAAGCCCCTCCCTCCCTGAGGATGCTGTGGAAGGAAGATGAGGGTAAGCATTTGGGTCAATTACTTTGAGTTTTGAGCTTGAAATACCTTGAGAAAAGCCAATCACATCTCTTACTGTTTTATTAATTAAATTTAATCACCTCATGCATGCGTGCTCTAAGTCAAAATGTGTTATGTGATACAGCTTGCCATGTGAGGTATACAAAGATATGTAACAAAGATTGTTATATTGTAGGATTTTATGCTCTAGTAGAGAAGCTATGTTCCTAAATAGTCATTATATATATATATCTAACAAGACTGTAAGGACTGTCCTGAGAGTTCTGAGAAGGAAAGGAGCCTTGTAGAATATGTGCGGTGCTGGTAAGTAGAGAAGAGGTGTATGGGTGTGGGAGGAAGGTGAGCGGGTGACACTCCATGTAAAACTAGTCAGTGCGGCTGATGTCCCGTTTGTGTAGTGCTATCAGTGGGAGGTAAGCCTCCTAAAAGGCTTGTGAAATTTTAAGTTCATTGTTATACTCTGACGGTTAAGTATTAACAACTTACCAAGTAATCTTAAAGATCTCTAATAGGTAAGGTTCTCCTTACCTGATCACCTGAATAGCTATGGAAATTGAGGAGTTAAAAATTGTGAGTGTTTCTGGCTGGGAATTGGGCACATAGAGGGCACTCCGTCAATGTTTGCCGAATGAAGAGAAGAAACTGGGCCACTGTTACAAGGTCCCTATGTGTAGTTTCTGCTTAGAAATGCCGTTCGTTTCTTCTGCTTGGAAATGTCAATTTCATGCCTAGAAATGGCATTCGTTCTTCCCAGTGAGTGTTACACACTAGACTGAGTGGAGCCTGACTATCCCGGAAGCGTCAGTATGCAAACTCTGCCCAGGGAGCGCCTTACTCCTGTGGCCCGACCAGTTCATTTCTGGTATGCACACACAGTGCTCCTGACCGGTTGGGTTACCATCTAAACTTGAGAGACAAATAAATAGACTGTGGAAGGTGGAAGTTCAGACAATGCAAGTATGCAGAGTAAAAGGCAAATATCTGGAGAGGCCAAATTCAGCAGCATTTCAACCCGAGCTGAGTATGCATCCATTTGCCAGGTAGCAGCCCATTTGTAATGATGAGTTGTGCTCAGAGAGCAGAGAGAAGACAATATGTTCTTTCAAAGAATTTACAATGACTACAGCAATAAAAATTCAAAGCAAAAATGACCATGCGCAGCAGAGCAAAGGGGGAAATGGGGCCATGGAGAGAAGGAAGAAGGTGGCAGGCCGACAGGTGGGGGGTGGCTTTCTTGGTCCAGAGAGGAAATGAAGGGACCCTGAGAAGGGATTTGGCCCCAGTGACTCAATTATGTCCCCCAGATCCATACTTTTCCAAAGACTACCCTGCCACCCAGAGTTTTGCAAAGGGAGAAGAGACAGACGAGTGAGTGCTCTGTGGGAAAATTGCAAGTCAGGATCAGGGAGGAAATCTGAAGACAAGAGCGGGTGAGAAGAAGGAAGAGGCCGCTAGTAGCTTGGTCCCAGCAAAGAGGAGAGAGCACTGAAGGAACCCAGACAGGCATGTGCAGGAACTGCCCGCGAGGCAGCCTGCCTGTGGGGGGAGTAAGGAGGGCAGGGACATACTGGTGAGCAAGACTTCCTGAAGCTGCCAACCACTGAATTTTCCTCCTGTTTCTCTCTGCATTCTCTTCTCAGGCCTCTGGCATCAGTGACACATTATAACCTAGAAACTCACTCCCATCTTCCAAAATAACAAAATGATGAGGAAAGCTGTCGTTTAATGAGCACTTCGGATGTTCTCAGCACATGCCAGGCACTTGAAGTTCATCCTCTCAACAGACCTGAGAGATGGATATTTTTACCAAAAATCTGTGTTTCCTATTGCTGCTGTAACAAGGTCCCACAGACTTCTGGCTCAAAACAATACAAATGTGTTTTTTTTACAGTTCTGCAGGCCAGGGGCATGACATGAATCTCACTGGGCTAAAACCAAGGTGTCAGCAGAGCTAATCCTTCTGGAGGACCTATGGGAGGTTCTGTTTTCTTTCATTTTGCAGAGGAAGGAAAGGAAGCATGGAGAGATTAATTACTCTGCCTAAATCTACAGTGTTAGGAGATTCACAGGCTGAGATTCAAATCCAGACCTGCCTGGCTTCAGATCATTCACTGAACGCTCTGCAGTTTCTCAAGTCCTGCTGCATAGCTAATGCTTTCATTAGGAAAAAAAAAAAGGTCAGACTCACTGGGCCTGTCTTTTCACTCTCTTCTCCAGGTTCTTGTCTCCTTAGCTTCTTGACACTGCTCTCATTTTTATACATTTTTCCCAGACCCAATGCTGCACCCACATTTTTCCAGAAAATCTGTCTAGATGTATCCCAAACCTGCAGCTCTCTCACCCACCCCTTGGGACTGAAGCTCTCGGAAGTACAAGGTGCAAATTCATAGGTTAATGTGGGAGGCAGCATTTCACAGTTTCTCCTTGGTCACATACATTTTAGACCAGGCTGGGGTCTAGACGACCTAAAACATTTGACATTTGTCGCCTCCCCCAGACAGCCACAGGTGTCCAGAGGGATGGCAGTTAGGGAGCCAGGTGTAGGCTTCTGGAAGCCCACAGTGGAGACCAGTGGCTGTGGTCTAACGGCGAGCACACTGGATTTGGCATCAGAAGGCTGAGGTTCAAACCCAAGGCTTGCCCACCCTTACTCTGTCACCCCGGGCAATGCCACTCTGCCTACTCATTTATAAAGTGGGTCAAACACAGCTTGTCTATGGGATTGCTGGGATCTCTGAGAGAAAAGATGCAAAAGTGGTTGGCAAACACTAAGGTTGTTTGCAAACATAATAAATCATGAATTATGACCAGGGGGATATTTAGGAAGGGCAAGGTATTGGGCCATGGCTTTGCTTTATGCACCAGTGACCCCTGGGGTCCAGGAGGGAGATTTTAGTGGTGAACTGGTCTCACAGCCAAAGGCTCCTAGGTTGAGGTGAAACACCCTCCCCCACTTCCCTCTTCTCTCTGCCCAGGGGCTGCTTAGCTGGAGGAGCGTGGAGGCCTCACCCATGCGTGCTTCTGCTAATTTTCCATGGAAGGATACATGGGAGAAAAAATCTCTTTGGGAGAGGAGGACAAACTTCCCAGTGCTTGGGGTGTGGCCAGAGCTGGGCACCAGCAGCAGGTCCACACAGGAGGGACCCCCTCTGCATTCCATCAGCATTCCAGAGCAGCTAACACCCCACAGCGTTCATCCCTCCAGCTTTGGCCAGCTCTGGGGCCTATGCTCCAGGCAGAGAGGTGGTGCAGAGAGGACCCCAAGGTTCTCCCTCTGTGCTGGGCTGCTTTCTCCCTAATGCAGAATTACTCAGAGGCCACTCTGTTCCATTCCCCTTGTGCATTTTTTCCTCCTTGTGTCAACCTACAAATGGCTTCTGCACTTTATTGCAAGAGTCTCCAAAGCAGGAGAAGGTCCTAGGATACTGTCTTCTTTGTCTTTCTTGGTCCGGGCAGCCCAGTCCTTGACACAGAGGCACACACTAAACTACTTTGCTAAATAAAAGACTAGATAAAATTAGATAAAATAAATTTAAAAATACGTATTTGAATGAATGAATATATGAATGAATTATTTGCCTAGACCTTTATCGCAGAACAGGTTAGAGAATATGGAGTAGAAAGAACATGGGCTTTGGACAGACCTGGTTTTGAACCTTAGTTCCACCCCTGAGCATATAGTTACTTAATCCTGTTGAGCTTCATCTCTAAATGGGTATCACAATACCTAACTTAAAAGGTTACTGTGAAAATTAAATGAGAATATATGTGAATTCTAGTACAATACTAGTTACCCAGGCAATATTAATTTCTTTACTTTTTCTCAGAGCTAAGGGACTTGAAGGGTGAAGGCACTAAAACTAGTGACTTGCTTATATCTTAAAATACACAGCCACATTTCAAAGGAAATACGATTTCACTATGGAACTCCAATTTATACATCAGACCCAAATCTGGCTGAAACAACAGTGGGGAGCCCAGGCCTCCCAGAGCTTCCCCTCATCAGCTCTAACCTTCCAAACTACATGGCTAGCCTTAGAGTGGTTCTAGAACTAACCGACAAGAAA